TACTACTACTACCACTACTACTAACGCTAGTCCTGAAACTACTGCTACTACTGTTCATGAAATGAAGAGCCAGTTTTCCAACATCTAAATTCTTGCGGCAGTCTTTCAAGCTGTTACCGTGCGTCTGCACCGCTTAGTAGCTGCACGCATTATTTTCCTCTTACGATGGATAAACACTCCAGCGATGTAGACAACGATGTGACTGTGGTTTACATGCTCTTCAGTTGCAGATCCAGGTACACTTTGCCGAGTACTACGGCGCTATTGCTATCTTGAATGCGGCCTCCCGAGAATAGCCCATGTTCGGCACCTGTTTTTTCGAGTACAGGGCCAAAGCCTCAGGCACATCGTGCCCGGCATCTGCAACTTCCTTCCTCGGCTGGGCATCGCATCACATTGAATTCTCGGCCCTTTGTAACTTTGCGAGCTTCAAACATGAGCAACATGCAACTCAACTGAGCCAGATGCTGCAGAATCTCAGCCAAGACCACTGCATCCTTTCAGAGATCTGCTGGCTAGGGCCTATATAGAGCGGCGTCAGGTTCATGAGCCACACACACCCCCTCACAACCGCTGCTGACATTGACTAATGTCCCAAAATCAACTGTGATGCCTGATAACGGTGCCATGAATCAAGCTGGCAGTCCTGCAGTGCAGAGTTGCAGCCCTGCCCACTGGCACCCCCCGTGGAGTGGGCCGCATCACCCAAGAGCACAGCTCCTCGGACGGTGCAGGAACCCAAAAGTTGGAGACTGATGCCAAGGAGCTCTGCAATTTGTGGCCGGGCGTCTCCCAAAGGAGTATGTATTGCACTTCACGGTGGAAGCACGAGAAGCCTTTGAGGAATGTTGTGCGCACAGCAGGCTGGTTTTCCCAACAAAGCTGCAGGCCCATGAAAGCCCATCCCAGGATAAGCCCATGCAAGCATAAACACATTAACTCATCACACTCATCGAGGTGCCTTTTGCGACACGAACTGCTTGGCGGACTCCTCATCCATTGCATCCTTTGCCGCGTAGGGCCCAATGCAATCAAATCAACCAACCAGAAAACGCCGACAATGGCTCTAACCGATTCGCCTCGTGCGGCATTGTGGCCAATGCCGAAACTCCAAAGCCCCTGCACAACCTTATACAGCCTGACTCACAAGCTGTATGGCTGCACTCTGAGGCGGGACACCGCGATGAGTGGAAAGGACGCCGCCAACACTTCCCGTGCCTGCAGCCAGCTCCTATAACCGCAAGGTTCCGCAAGCAGAGGCCAAGCTTAGCTTCTTGATGCTTTTTGTTCGGCTACTATGTTGCTGCACTCTGGTCGCCCTGCGCACTGGCGATATTATTCGTCCTACATAACATGCCATCCTATCATTGTTTGTTTTAAACTACTCTACTCTTTCTCACAGCCCAGCCTGGGCAGCATCTGCTAGGTCTCCGAGGCCCGGCTCTGTCTTCCCATCCTTCCCTGGTTCCCTCCAGTTGATGAGGGCGCAGCCGCCACCTTTTCAGGCCGCCGGGCTCTTCAAGACCCCTATGTGTGAGCGTGCGTGTGTATTTCCCTCTTATGTATGTATGCACATTATGCATACATATATACATATATATACAGATACATATATACATATACATGTAACGTATAGTGTATATATATATATATATGTATGTATGTATGTATGCATGCATGCATGCATGCATGTATGTATATATACATACATGTTTTTGAACCTTTACATACTGCTACAAGGCGTGTGAAGTCGCACATGTCGCACCACCGCATGGTCACGCGGGAAGTTACACTAGGGCGTTTGAAGTCGCACCACAAGCAGAGCTGCACATCGCTTTCCCCATGGCCACGCGCTTCCTAGCACATTCCTGGCACAGGCTTCAACTTAGGCTTTCGAGTGCCACGCGCAGGCATTCTTAGCTGAAAAGTCTGCCAGTTTAGCAACTAATCAACATGTGCATGCGCTTTCAGACATGTAACAAATGCCCGCTCAAGACACAGATCATTGGCATCATCGCGCACGAGGACTGGAGGAAAACCAGCCGTTCCCCATGTAGAGCTCGTTTTCAGAGGCACCCGCTCAACACAAACCGCAGTAGAATTACAGCACTTCAAAGCCAGCTATTCCCCAACTACAAACTCGATTTCCGAAGCACCCACTCAAGAATTGGCATCACAGCGCACGACAACCAACCATTCTCCAGGTAAACGCCTGATCTCACAAGCACCCACCCAAGACAAACAGCCAGCCAATTCCACATATGAAGATTATGAAGACGCTCTCTGAATTTCACGGGTGCCCGCGAGAGACACACTGACACACAGCGGCGGCATCACATGACGCTATTCCCCCCTTGTGGACGATCGATTTCGCAAGCAAGCGCACGAGACACTTCATCATACATAAGTCTTAACACCATTTGCACGCTCAAAGATACAACATCAAGTCCACTAAAGCATGTCCATGCCGATTGCCGGGACTTGTTCAGAATGGCCTACCCCCAGTGTGCACGCGCAAAGGTATGACTTCACACAGGGCGGTACGACTTAACCCAACCCCCCAGTATGGCCATGTGTGTGTGTGTATATATATATATACATCTATCTATCTATCTATCTATATCTGTATCTATACATACATACATACATATATATATATATATGAATGTATGTATGTATGCATGCATGTATGTATGTATGTGTGTGTATCTATGTATGTACGTGTTCATATTTATTTAGCTTCTCGATCTACATGTATGCTTTCGACATGCCCTACTGTACTCCAATGCTCTTATTCACATACAAATAAAGAGACGGAGAGAGAAAGAGAGACTTGCGTGTGCCTGTGTGTGTGCGTGCACGTATATGTTTTGGGATGGCTCCAGAGCCCGCTCTGTTATCAATCCTTGTTGTGCCAACTTCATGACAAAACGTGCAGGCAGTAACATCTGAGAGATGCGCGTCGTCGGCATGGGCTTGGCGCGAAAGACCAGTTCTTGTTACAAACTTTGTCGCGCCTGGGTGGAGCCCAACATATATGTGTATGTATGCATGTATGTATGTATGTATGTATGTATGCATGCATGTATGTATGTATGTATGTGCGTGCATCTGATACATTGCATACATATACACACATATACACATACGCACATATTCACACACGTACATATATTTTTAGCACACGACATACGTAAATACATACATACATAAATACATACATACATACATGCATACGTACATACATACATACATAGATACATGGGTAGTTCTCTAAATTCGAGTCCCTTTGGGGGTCCTTTTATAAGGGTGCCATACTACATTGGGGACCGATAAAGGACCCTAATCTAGAAAACTACCCACCCACATACATACATGCATACATGCATACATGCATACATGCATGCACATACATGCACACACAATTATGCACATACATACATGCACATACATACATGCATACATACATACATACATACATACATACATTTTTTAGCACTCGCGCTCGACGCCTGCTACATACATACATACATACATACATACATACATACATTACATACATACATACATACATACATACACACACATGCATGCATTCATGCATGCATACATACATACATACGTACATGCAAATACATACATGCACATAGATACAAGCACATACATACATGCACATACATACATACATACATACATACATATATGCGCACATACGACCTGCTTAATTACTGCATACATACCTACCTACCTGCCTGCCTACCTACCTACCTACCCCTGACTGCCTGAGTATCAGCCTGCCAACTGCCTATCTGGTACCTGCCTATATGCCTACGTACAGCCAAACAGGCAAACAGACACGTCCAATAAAACAAACCCACCCACCCACCCACACAGACAGCTTGCTTGTTTGCAGATGAAGACGTGACTTGACTGTGTTGGGACTTGCGTTCTGTACTCTTCTGCCCACAACTTTTGCTCTGCCTGCAAGGTTTTAAATGCGTGCTGCAAACAAGCAGAAGAGTTCCACTGCAAGCCACTTGTGGCCCTAGTATACATTCCGAACTGCCGTCGCAGAAAAAGCGATCTTGTACGGCAGATCAACCTACCTCCACTGCAAAAATAGGTCACACATTCCCAGGTTGCAAGAGGACCATACTAGTAAAAGCCCAAATCCATTGTCAAAAGGTTGGCTTGACCTGTGCAGATCCAATGATATCACGCCCACCCTAATTTAGAGAAACTACCCATATGGCTCCATGAAAACCGACGAAATCCTGCAGCCCCAGCCAGGGGGCGAGCTGTGGGTTCCACGAATGCAGAGGTCCCGCCCTTGCCCGGTATGGCGTGGACGGCGGTCGGATCCAATTTCTCAGGCATCCTGGGGCTTCAGGCGACTCGGAGCTTCCGCGACATGGCATTTCAAACTTGCAGACCAGGCTGCTGCGGAAATCGCAGAACCTTCAGGCTACCCGGCAACTGCGTCTGCTCAACCTGGCACGGTCTTGTGCAGACGACAGCAGCCACTGCGAAGCGCCACCATCAGCATGACGACTCAGAACGAAAACGAACGTGCACCACAAGTCGGAACCAGTCCAACCAAAGCCCTGGCACAGGGAAGTGGAGGCCTTGAAGCCGGTACACGTGCCGGCGATGCTGGCTCGGACTGCCTCAGCTCTCAAACACGACCCTGGCTCATGGTGCATCCGGCCCAAGCTAGGGTGCAGAATTCACGCCGTCGCAGCCAGCGATCACGTCCACTGGGGCCAGCTCCTCCAACTTGTCACCCGACTGGAGCACTGCCGAACCTAGCCACGGGCGACATCCCACAGCCAAGCCGGAAGGGAAGGAGTTCAAGCATGTCAAACGACGTCTCGCTAGTGGCCACGACCGGTGCCACGCTGGACATATCACATATCTATCTATCCCAAAACCTCGTGCCTGCAATAGGGTCCGCAGACTTCAAGCGAGTGTCGAAGGAAATCTGCAGCCTCCCAGTTCCTCGGCAGCCAAACCCGGCAAAGCTTGTGCTGCGCGGGTTCACATTAGACCCCAGAATTGATTCCGTTCGCGCCCAGTGATGCACTCAGGCTTCGCCCACTACACGCCAGTCCGTCGTTCGCAGCAGGGTTCTGAAGGAGCCCAACCCTGGCGAAATCCTGTGAGGCACTTCGCTTCTCGGGCAATGTGCTCAGCTGAAAAATAGCAAAACCACTCCATGAAGTTCAAAGCGTAAGCTGGCCTGAGGAGATCGAGGAACGTTACAGAAGGAGGTGCGACTAGTTGCAAGGTCAATTCCTAGCCAGGCTATGGCCACCAGCGAGCCAGAAAAAATCAAGCGATATTTCGACAGAGCTGGAAAGCAAGGACCAGCCCAGCCAAGGCCAAGGCACCTGTGAAAGAACGTTCCAAGTCATCCAACATTGCGGAGCAAAGATCAGACTGGTAGATCAGAAGGCTGGGCTCCAGCCCACTGTTGTCTTCTGGGGTGCGAAGGTCGATGGCCTCAGGGCAGGTCCCGGAGCCTGCAGAAGGCACGGACTGGCTACCTGTAGCAGAGACCAGGTCTCTGACGAAGCTGGGAGAAAGGTGGAGCTTGAACCGCTCGCTGGCAAAGCCATTTGGCTTGATGGATGCCCAGAGTTGCTCTCCAGCTGTCCTGACGCGGAAGCGCCATGCCCTGAAGAACCTCCACAGCCGAAAGAACAACTTTTCGTCCTTATGGCTGTGTGCCCCCGGATGCCCAGGCCCAGTGCATAGGCGCGGCCCTGAAGCGACTTGTCCGTCCGCGGATCGCGTCGGCCTTCGACGAGACGCACCGATGCCCCGGCCGAGAGCAAGCGGTGCGCCAGCAGCAGCCCTCAGGAAGAAGGCACGCAATCTGAAGAAGCTTTCATTGAGTTCAGGCTTTAGATTTGTAGACTTGGGCTTCTTTTTCTGGCGTCGAGCCTGAAGGACCTGCCCCAGCGATCAGGACAGACAAGGCTAGGCCAGGTCCAGAACTGCTGCGGCCCTCGGCCCCTAATTGCCATGAGCTTGGCCTCCGTAGGCTTGCAGTTGCAGCATCTTTGGCTGCGGAGGCTGGGCCAACAAATGCGGCAGCCAAGCCCAGACCTTGCACAAGCCAGCACATCGACAGCAAAAGCCGCACTGACAACCAATCTGTGCTTCGGGCCCAACGCGCAAATCATCGCAGCGGCCATCGACCATGGCCGCCTCAATGCTGCAGCAATCTGCGAAGCAGCGTACTCAGCGTACAACGGTCACCGCCCAGGCTGACCTGCCTGTGCCACCGTCGCCCCGCAGCTGCCATGGCGAGCAAAGGCTCAAGTTTCAGTTCTGTGCCGCAAACTTTCGCCAAGCAGAGACTTTCGCGATGGATGGTCCCATGCGCATTGGCATCGCTGCAGCCACACCCATGCCAATATCAAGAAAGCCCCTGCCTCTCGACCCAGGTCTCACGCCATGTGTCCCGCCGTGTCAGCGGGAAAACGTCATCCGCCAGCCCCAAATCCTCCTTGCGCCGTCCCCGTAAGAGACGAGTTGGTAGCAAAGCGAACAGAGAAGTTCTGCAAGAAAGGCAAGTCCTGCTCCCCGCAGAAGTAATCCCTGAACTCGCAGAACACTCCAACTCCTTCGCATCAGGTACAAGTGAGCGCGGGGCCTTTCAGCATGTACCGCTTCAGCTAAGGCACGGTAGCCACTTCGCTTCAGTGTGCGGAGAAGGTTGTGCGAGTTATCCCCCTGATGGGACAGGATCTGGTCACGTCGCCAAGCTGTCGGCTAGGCTGCAAGTGCCAAGCCAGGCCTCAAGTTCGAGGCCCCCAAGCATGGGGTAGAGATTTTGGACCTTCCGGGCACAGACAGATTGTCTCGCATCAGCACTGAAAGTTCGATTAGTCTCTGGATGGGTCCACCTCAAGTCAAAATTGGAACCCTGGCCGTCTCATTGCCATTTGCTGTAGATTGTGCTTGTGCTCCTGTGCTGTCTCTGCGCGCGTATGTGGCGCGTATGTGCACATGTCGTTTTCGGATGCCAGGATCAGCTGGAGAAACATGTGTAAGTCCTCTGTCCGTCTTGCGAACTGACGCTGTACGCTGCTTGCTTGCTTCCAATTTTGGAAGACAACTGAAGGCTGATCTTGCCAGTCTCGCTGCAAACGTCCACACTTAGATGATCCCCTGCCCGTGTGTTCATTGATAGGACCGTGCTGACGAGTGGCCGTGCTGCCCCATTGGATGCTGTGAAACCAACCTTTGCTGCCAGCTAACGTTTGCATCCAACTTTTTGCCGGATATGTGTGCCAAGTCTCCTGCTGCGCCGCCAACATAGCCAGGGCCGGAGCGACGCAAGGCTTGCAAAGTCAACGGCAAGAGCTCCTCAAGCATCTAAGCATCACGACCTACAGCATGACACGGAACACTGCGACAACTGTGTCGAATCCAGGCGGCAGATGCAAGACAAGACATGATTGAAGAGCCCGCTGACCTACTTGGCGTGCAAGGGCAAAGGAACCATGTTTCTCCTCCAATGTGTGGATTGACCTCGGCTGCAAGTGTGAGGCATTCAGGATTACTACGAGACGTCTGCCTGGACCCGCACCCTCCCTTTGCCTTGCAGGGCTGTGTGCTTTCTTTTCACGCCGTCCACCGGAGGATGTAAGCCGACAGAAGTCCGGTGCATGACAGCGATGTGCCGCCATCCTTGTGCCGCGGGTCATCTTGGAGCTTCGCTTCGCTGAAGCAGTCTGCCAGTTCGCCAGCCCTGCATCAGCCGTCCCGGCGGTCGTAGCACAAATCGGAGCTGCGATTCGAGGATCCCAGCCTCCTTGGTGCGTGCCCTCCCAAGAGGCACGCAGCTCAGGTCTCGTTTCTCCTGGCGTAGACGTGATACCGGAACTCTTGGCTGGAACCAGGTAAAGCTCCAGCATGTGGACAAATCCTCAGAACGGAAGTATGAAGCGAAGAGGCCTTGCATGCCAGCCCAAGCTTAGGACAAGCTCTGGTCGTCTTGCATCCGGGAGGCGGTACGGGCAGATTGCTGGTGGTGCCAGATATGAACACCTAAGCCCGCGAATTGATCATGTTCTGGACTTCGTGAACCAGAGTCAATCGCACAGATTCGCTACCGACTAGCTGCACCCTCCGAACTCGCTCAAACTCACCGCTTCAGAGAAACGAAGACGAGACTCGTCATCTGCAGAACTCTACAAGATTAGCTTGACTACCAATGGAACTGTTCTGGCCAGTGAGACGACCGAGAGTACAATGACAGTTTCTTGTCACCATCACGGCTAGTATGAAGAGCTGGCTGAAAGGGCCTCAATATGACAGTCTAACTTTTCGGCAGAGGGGCGAGTGTTCTTCCTGCCAACAGTTGTAGTTCTTTCCAGGGTAATCGCTAACACACTGTCGTGCATACTCGCTCTTTCTCAGTCCAGATTCCAATATTATCCGTGCACTTCTCCTCCGGCCAGTAGCATTCAAGACGCGTTCTTGTGAGTGCTACCACCCCTCCCTGCACATGTCTTGTTGTGAAGCATGGAATAAATTACTACAGTACCCGTTTCGGTATGTTTACCTGATCTTGCAGGTTGCTTCTGCCATGGACGGTTGCTACCATTGCTTGTGGGCTGTGAATGTGAAGTTTCGAAGCAAGAAGCAGCCAAAGACTGCTCCGGCGTGAACGCCAAATCTCCGGACAAAGCCTCGGGCGACAAGCAAGCAAGGCACAGCATACCCAAGGCCATGAAATCTGTGGAAAACTCTCTCTATGTTTGTCTCAATCGCCATGCTTCTCTTTGTCTGTCGCATGTACACATTCAGATACACATGATCCGCGGTGAATCTGGGCAAGAAACTACATCAGGCAGCAAAAGCCTCCGTGTGTATGCGTTGGCCCAGACAGGCACCCTGCACCTAGCTGAAGCACTTGGAAGGGGGGGTCTGTGCCGATTTGGTGCCGCTAGTTCACGCACCCGTCGGCAAGCGAGTCTACCCGCGCACGTTGAGATTGCTAGGAGCATGCAGGGCATCAAGAACACTTCGTCCTAGAGAGCTGGAGCCGAAACGACTACTCATGCGCTCTCTCCCTAAGTCGTCTCTCCATCTCGCGCCTATGTCCACGAACCACAGCGGAGAGCCCCACAAAAGGCAACCAACCACATGTAACCAGTGACTGACCATATAGCAGCCTGGGCTCAAGCTTCTCAGTACCTCCGCACTCGAGCCCACGGGGCAATCCGCACAAGTTCTCGCAATGATCTTCCCGAGTTCCCTGGTTATCTAATTTCCCGGCCTTCCGGCGACAGGCAGTAATTCACCGTTGGCTGCGATCGCGGGATTCGAGGACCGGGTCCTTGGTTGCCCTGCGCCCTAAACCCTAAACCCTTTTTTTGCATCCAGGACTCTGTTCGCCAGCCGGGCCCTAAACCCTAAACCGTAAAACCCGTGCAGTGCCTTGCAGCCGTAGACTCCGTAGACTTTCAGCTTCTCCGCTCTGGCGATGTCACGGAAGGCGCGTCCTCTTCCCAGCGCGAGGCGCTTGGAGCCGAGGTCGCAAGTTGGGCATGGGAACCACACCTAAGAGACACACACACACACACTCTTCTTCTTCTTCTCCAGGGCATGGGGAGTCGGCAAGACCCCCCGGCCATTAGGCCCCCCAAATTTCATGGGGTTTTCAGGGGGTGTGAAAAGTCACATGTGTTCCGAGGTTTCTGTAAGTTTTCAAATATTTCTCCCCGGCGCACATGTTCAGTGCTATTTCTTTGGGACACCCATATTGACCTGCCGGTGGGTGTATATTATGCAAACTGTATTCTCCCCCCATAAAGAAACACACACACACACTCTCTCTCTCTTTTTTCAGTGGAAAAATGGTGGGAAGAAAGGCTAAGAGGGACAAGTAGTGGGGAAAAAAGGTGCTAAGGCCTGTAAAAATAAACTTGCTATCGATGCTTCAAGGCACATTGACCAGCAAATGTTTCGCCTCGCTCAAGCTCTTCCCGGGAACCTGATAGGGACTCGTGCAACAAGCAAGCAATTGCTGACACGATGTCGAGAAAGTTTTCGGAGGCTCACATAAACAGCCCGACCTCGTCCAAATGAAAAGTTGAGATTCGGGAATTGCTGCGCTTTACATGGTTGTCCGGCAGCGGGAGGATGAGCGTGGTACCAGACGGGAAAACAAGATCCAGCATCGCCTGAAAGCCATCCTAAGCTTGCAGCATATTCTCCAATAGATTCTGCATAAAACAATGCCGGATCTAGACTTCCACACCAAGCAATTCCGTCATCAGCGATCATCAATTCGAGCCGCACTGCCTTGCTTGGCGAAGCGCTTCACAGTTTCCAATCGAAGTACAATCAAGCCATCATACGTCAGCAGTTCGTGAGCAAGTCCGCAGAACCTTACAGAACTCCAACGGAACTGGGTCACCTTTTGCATGTGAACCTGTACGTTCGAGGCCCACGTCGTCTTATCATGGGACAGAAGGATGTAGCCGAGAGGCTCGGGATTAGAGAATGATGCATCCATGTTGGCACTGGCTGCAATGGACTCCAGGCTCGTCCAGTCCTGTTACAATGCCGTCTAGCAGGCTATTCCAAAGGCTTTCGAAAGACGAAGGGGAGGTTATCCAAAAATAATTGTTGTGGCATGCTAAGAACTGCGCCTGGAAGGTATGTTCATGTTTGAAGCTTCCAGACTCCAATGTCTCGTAGTCGAAAACCTCCGATGCGGTCGGTGCGCCCGACTTTACCTGCAAAAACAGTGGTGCAGGTTAAACATAAAGACTGACTCTTTGAAACTTTGCTGGTGCCGCACCTGATTCCGTAACAAACCCCGGTCTGGCGCCAATAGCCTTTGGACATCCTTACGGGATGTTGCAAGACGCCCGAGCAGGCGTGCCAGGTACGAAGGTTGCTTGCAATGCTGGCAAGTGTCGCCGTCTGTCCTTGACATTACATCCTGCAACTCTCGCCGTCGTCGCAGGGATTGCAAGGAAAGCAGACCAGCCTGTAATGCAACGCATGCAGTTGGAGGATTCCTCCAGCCACGGGCATTGTCCCGAAATTACCAGCAAAGGAGATTGATCTGATCCAGGGCACGATTGCCACGACCACGGCTGCCACTAGGCTTCCCTGCTCCTGCTCGGGGTCCTTATGCCGGCACTCCAGAGCGGAACACGACAGTCATGCAGGGCTCACGACATGAACATACATGAACTGTGAAGGGCCAGGCAGAATTCCGGAGGCCGGAAAGAACGGCAACCTCACACAGGTGCACGGGTTGATGCTTTCGGCCCTCCGATTCTCAGTAGATTCACCTCTTAAAATGTGCCGGCATGAAGCATCCTGCTGGAAAGCAGATAGCTTGGCCAGGGTTCGGGATGGTACCCTTCCGAACTTTGCGCGCTGCGTCCGACACCTGACCAAGCCACCACAAGAAGCAGAGCAGACATATCGCCTGGTGCCTCAATGCGAGGATCCAGCCTGTTCAGACCGCAATGTGCGTCCTGCAGGTTCTGTAACATGCTGACCCAGAGTCTGGGGTGTAGGGCCTACTCAGACAATTCGACACCACACCTCACTCACTGCATTCCGGGCAGCAACTGTCATGTGCGAGTCAACGAAGACGACTGCAGCTATGTTTCTGAGTAGCAACTCCCTACCTGTACTCTAAGAGAGAGAGGAGACAGGAGCATGCTCAAGCTTTTCAATCGCAGGAAATCTGGCTCCGGACGCCACACGCATGCTGTGAGACATTCGCGGTGAGACAGACGGATCGTCAGGATGTTACGACGTGTCAGGGTGAGACGACCAACAACGAGAATATTCAATCGGGCATTCCTCCAAGCGGCAGATGCCCTGGAAGCCTAGAACCGATCGGTCTTGTCCAGCAGATTGGCATGGTGGCGTTGCAGCGCTGCCTGCTCACCGGCCTTCATGTCCTCCTAAGGCCATGGATGGGAGCAGCCAACTCTTGCAGACTGCACCCGACATCCCCCTTCCGCATAGACAGCCGAGTGACCGCCCCGATTCCTTCGGACCAGGTCTTGCGAGCCTTGCAGGATATCGTAGTACTACTGATGAAGCCAGCAAACCATAGCTTCAATGACCCACTACATTCAGTACACCTGAGCTCCGGACCGTGGCCTCCGTCAAAATGCGTCGGCATCCGCCGGTTGCCATCAGGCTCTGCTTCGTACGACCATCCCCCATGAAGACACCGTTGACGCCTGCCCGTGTAAACACAAGCCTAGAAAGGACAGACATCTCCCGACACTTCAGCCCCAAAATGTAGCCCTGGACATGTGCATTGAGAAGCTTCTGATGCTGGATTCTAGGACTCTGGATTCTGCAACTTTCAAATTCAAGCGTGCCTCCAGGGCCGTAGCTCTTGGCGAGGTCCACCCAGGGTTTGACGCGGGGAGCCCCAAGCGGCTTGCCTGACAGTAGTTTCTACTGGAAATGTGGTGGTCCAGCTTTTCGACCAAATCCGAAACTCCACCAACGCATCCATGTCGACTCGAAACGAGCTCTCTACGGTTCTTGCGTCGAGCCACTGAGGTCTTTTGCTGCATCCACCTGGTGCATGGGCTTGTATGACTTTGGAACCGTGGCTCCCTTGGCACGCGCTGCCGTCATGTCCACGAAGGATTGGTCAATGGCCTTTCGGCAGAGTTGACACCGAGAGCAAGGATGCAAAACTGAACAAGTGCTCATGCTTTCTGGCAGAGGTGCCATGGAGCAGCCAGGGGTGATCCGTGGTCGAGGCCAGTCTGCTTCCGCCTTTTCGCGTTGCTGCTTTTGGAGCATCATCTTTGCCTTGGCAAGCACATTCGGCGTTCGCGCTGCAACAAAGCCCTTACCTGCCACCGAAACCGTCGATACGGCCACAGGACTTGCAAGATGTTGTAAGTCTCCGCATGTCTTCAGTTCCTGTCCCGTGTCTGTGGGACTCAGTTCGTGCATGAGCCATAGACACGGCTCAGACCTAAAATCTCTGCTAACGTCAATATCGCAACGAGTCAGTGACCACAAATCCACTGCAGGCGGGCCACATGCTCGGCTTGCAGAGCAAGTTCGGCCTGCACCCAGGTAGTGCAACCCGGTTTGTGTACATGAGGATGTACATGCCGTACAGGTTACATTGAAAGCATAAAGCCTTCGTCGGGCTATCAGAAAGACACGAAAACTACTGCAGTTATCCGGAAATAGTCTGGCGTGCCCTAAGGATCTGAGTTCGACGACTTGTCACGTTGATGGCAATCCAATAACCCCGACCTTCCAAGCTTAAAAGAATGAGCGCCGGCTCGGCCTCCCGCTGACGCCGCAGCTTCGCCCCTTCAGCCTCCCCCGCACGTCGGACGGCATCATTCACTGCGTCGCGCTCGCGTTCCTGTTCCGGAACCGTGAGCACCCCATGACCAGCAGAAGTGAAGACTCCAAAACACGTCCTTCCCCATGCGATCCAGCTCTCGGGAGTTGTCTGCGGCACCCTGCCTTGGACATAGCTTTGGTGTGCTTTAGCTCGAACTTACCCACAGAGCATGCGGTCGTTCAACGATGTTCATCGGCAAGTTGCTGCATGCGCATGCCCTGCAGCACCTTCTCCTGTTGCTTCTTCCGCGCTGCCTCTCGCCTGCCAGGAGCGCACGTTTGTCCGTGGAGCGATCCCGGCAATGCATAGACATGAGCTCGGAAACCAGGGGTGGAGGGAATGGGGCGTGGGGCTCGGGTGGGCTAAGAGGTTGCCCAAACAACCGTGGCATGATGGTGTCCGAATGGAACTCGATTCGGTGCCCCACACCTTGCATAGTGCAGCTGTAATCGCAGATTGTGCTGCTTCTCGTCGCCTCCATTCCGACTTCAAACACGATACCATGGTAGAAAACTCATCCCGTGCAGCAAGATATGTCAAGGTTGACGTCGCATCATCTGAGCATCAGGCGATCTTGCCGCATGCTCTCATGTTGATACCGTTCCTCCAAGTCACCTCCAAAGGCTGGTTGAGAGATAACTAGTGACTTCGCCACATATCAAACGGCGAAGACTTTTTCAGGGATCAACTGCAACTCCACAACTATCCAGGCTCATAACTACAATATCTTGTGATAAACTGACATCAAAGAAAAGTCTGCAGCAGATGTGCGCAAGTGTAGCCATGCATAAGAAATGTGCAAGTACCCGTGCGTGACAACTTCGAAGACCGTCGTAATACATGGGTATGAATGATACATGCACGTGTATGTACATAGATATGTATATACTCATACTGAACAACTCAACGGCTATCCAGATTGAGTTAGGCGGCGGCCGGCCGTTGCGAAGTAGCGTGCCTCACAAGATAGGTAGCGGATGGCTTGGACCCCCCGCAACGCTTCTAGCAATAGCAGGCTCACACACCTCTGGGCAACACTGAGCTGCAACCACACACGACTACTCGGGAGGATCCTGAAGTCCATGCCAAGCCAATCCAAACTAAAACCCTGTTTCTGCAACTCATGTCAGACCAGAAAAGGTCTCAGGTGGTCTCAGTGACAGGCACATGACAAACATGGCACGACCGCTGTCACCAGGCCCACTTTCGGCCAACTATTCAATTTGTGTAGCCGCCCGCCTCCTTGGCATCGGCGGTGCGCTGTGCGGCCTTCAGCCTCTCCTGCTGAGCTGCGAGTCGGTACTGCTCCTGGCCGTGGTGTCACAGCACCATATATACTGCATCGTCTGCCAAGCGCAACGGCAGAGACTCCATATTGATTCGTCTGTGTCATCTGCTATCACGAGTCAGCACACATCGGCCAGCCCCGTCGTGTTGTCGGTGCCGCGGAACAAGGCCGTGGGACGGCATCCTTATTCCCGTTCACAGGTGAAGTGAGCCTGTGGGCCAAGCAACTCGTGGGACTAGGCTGGCGGGGTTCTCCAAAGCCAGTCACATCCCATTCCTTGTTGCGTCCTCTCGCCTCAGGCTCCTCGCTTTCCCAGCATCTCCACCTCTTGCGCCTGCGACTCCTCGTGCCGCCCTGCTTCGCTCCCTGTCGTTTTGTTCCCCCCTCCACCCAAACTGCCTAGCTCTCTCCCGCAGCGTCCGGGGATCTAGAGGTTAGTATGTCGATGGGCACAGGAGCAACTGACAAGCTGCCATCGGCAGTCAGGTTGTGCTGCCATCAAGCCAGCATCGAACTTACAGACACGTGAAGATGCGATCAGCTGTACTTCCGAAAGCAGGGACAGCTCGTGCTGAGAACCAGTGGTCAGTGAGTCAGTGAGGTCCTGAAGCAGCTGCTCGCGCATTCGCGCATTTAGCTCATCCTTCTCCTCAGTGCTTTTCCACGGGGCCTATGCCTACGTTCGCTTGTGAGCATAACCGCTCCGTTCTGAAGTAGTTCTATAGACACGCCTGAAGCACGCCAAGATCAGCTAGCATTCACGCGTGCTTGCAAGAGTTCGCTTGCACGCAGGCAAGACTCCATCTGCTTCTCGTTGCTGTTATTCGTCGCTCTGCGCGCAATAGCTTCAAGCCTTGAGGCGGAAGTAAGCGCAGCAGAAGCCCCATACTTCTACAGTCTTCTATGCACGAGTCGGTGGGAGTGCATTGCATGCAGGTCTGGGCATGTCTGGGACAAGCTGAGGAGCGTTTCGTTTCCATGCTTCTTGAGCTCCTGTCCAGTGCCGCATCCAGGCTCTTGCTCTGTTCAGGAGCATACTGACATACTGCATGCTTGACTGAGGGGTTTCTAGGGAGGCTGACCTCTCGTCTCTTCTTCTGGGCATCGAGGTCTTCGCACAGGAGCTGGATGCTCCGTGCCTGCATGACTACAAGAAGCCGCAGTACAAGTTGGAGCACAGCTGCGTTGCCTTGATCTCAGCCCCCTCCATGAGATCCTGGAGTCGCGCTTCTTTGGCCCGCTCTTCAATCAAGGCCATCTGCTCGTCCAGGCCCTTGCGCATAGCCATGCGCTTCTCGTGCTCGTTGTCCTGCCCACAATGCACTTTCTCGCGAAGGCGCCCTGCAGATGAAAGCCTGGAAGCGAACCCTCTGCAGCTCCTTCTCCATCTGAGTCCGCCGCTGCTTGTTAAAAGAATCTGCAGTGACGGTCTTAGCCATATCCTCAAATTCGCTGTTCTTGGCTTGCCTGCAAGCGAAGCACAGCACAAACATCGACCAGGTTCTTCAATCGGTGGCAAAGGTTGTCGCGAATCCGAAGCAAGCTCAGTAGGAACGAGTCACAATGGGGTGGACGCACTCCAGAAGCAGAAGACCCTCTCGACGAAAGCCCCACGCGACAAAACGACATGAGGCATTTTTGAGTCATGTACAGTATCCTGCAAATCTAATGGTTCTTCGGGAGCACGGGGGGGGGGGTGGTAACTGCTACAATCGGCTTGCGGAGCCCATGTCGAAGCTTTCGCGAGGATATTCTTCAATCGAGCACAGCGAGCTGCACACCCTGAAAGAAACGTTAAGAGCCGGAGTCCAAGAGGTTCCTCACGGCTTTCGCAATGGCGACTCCCGACTCGAAGGCGTCTCCGACTCGGTCTCCGACCGCCCAGTCGCCTCCCGCAACAAGCATCCGGTCCGGCTCCACGATACACTTCTCCGGGAGTCGCGAAGGATTCAAGGGAAAGGCGTTGTTCCAACGGAAGGCCTCGGCATAAACCACATCTTCTGTTGAGCATCCGAAGATGCGACAGAATTCTTCCAGAAGCAAGCCTTGGACCTCTCCTTTCTCCAGTTCTGCTCGTGGCTTGCTCCAATCCGGAGAAGCATGCAGCACCCAGCACTCGGGAGACGGAGACTTGGGCCTGGCAGGTTTGGAGCTGTTGCGGCTCACCCAGGCGAAGCAGCCCGGGCCCCCCTGCAGCACTGCAGCATCCCATGCAAGATTGGAGAAGGGCTCAGAAGTCGCCACGAGGAGGGCCCAACAAACATTGGACTCTACTTTGGATGCCTCACGGCCACTGGCACAAGCCTCTCCCAGCAAGCGGACACAGCTCCGTGCACTGGTGGCAACTGCCAAGACGCATGTCTGTACCGGGTCCGAGTTAACTTGCAAAGTCCAAACCTTTGCTGCATCATCCCAAGAAGCCTTTGAAGCCTTGGAGCCTACGCAGGATCGAAACTCAATTGGACTGCTCTGGGCTTCGCGGATGATGTGCTTACCAATCGCACTCATCGTCGGTAGTCCTACCAACGGTACTTTTGCTGAATCGAAGGGCTCGAAGTCTGCATCGTGAATGTTGGGTCCCGTCAAGGTCAGTGTCCCGATCGCTCCTTTCCAAATGCCCGCCACCTCGGCGTCTTGCCAGGCCCGGCAGGCATCTGAAAAATGGGGCTGCGAAGCCTTCGGCGTAAAGAACTGACAGCCGTGATCAAAGGAGAGGAGCTTTCCGTTCTGCTCCCTCCGCCTGGTGCAAACCCGGCCTCCAAAACCCCGGCCCTGCTCCACCAGGAGCAGACGGAGGCTACGTCGCCTCACGCTCTTTGCAAGCTGTGCTACCGCGGCGAGCCCTGCAAAGCCTCCACCCACCACGATGGCATCGTACGATTGATGCTCAGAGGTGGAGCACCTTGTGACCCTCCCACCATGTAACGATCTGATTCCAGGCAGCCTGAAGCTGCACAATCGCAGACTGTATGCTGCAGCATCCATCTGACCAACAATAGTGTGCCAACTTCAGGCAGCGGTTTGAGCCGACATTGAAGGTGAAGTGCGAACGTATTGCTAAACGACAGATAAGCCGATAGGCCTGAAAGCTTTGTTCTCTTCCAGCTGTTTGTCCAGCCTGCTCCGCGTCTTGTGAGCAAACACACATCAGGAGCTGTGGACATGCCGAAACCGCAGGCACATTCATAACGACATGGATCGAAGGCAAGCAGCTCTCGTCGATAATACTCTTTCATGGACAATCTGTGCTGCTCTCTCTTCTTCTCCTTCCAAGAAGCAACTGCATGCATGTGTTGATTCATGGGCTCACAGCGGGACACAATGTTGCCACAGCACCTCTTCCACAAAGGCCCTGGCATCCCAGTTGTTGCCAGCCTTCGAAGTCTTTTCAGGAGACAAACCCTTGCTGCCATGCGGAAGCAGACACGGTGCAAGTACAGTTACGGGTGCCACTGCAGCACAAAGCAGTAGAAGAACTCGCCTGTTTCAGAGGATTGTCAGCTGTGTCCGACCACATGGCCCTCGGAACATACACGTCATCCGCGGCACTGGGATTATGACCTGCAGGGCAGCGTCAGCAAATTGCAGATCGGCAGGCAGCCTTAGCAAATAAATTTGAGAGCGGAATCTCTGCCTAAGACCATGCCGAAGTCATTCTCTCCACGGTTTCGCAGAGTTTTTCGGATGCTGGCCTTGCCGGGAGAATCAGACGAAGGATGCATGGCGGCAAGTCCTGACTCTGACAAAGATTTGCGGCCGAGGTACACTTAGGGTTCCTTCCAGCTGCGGAGCACTGGCTGACTTCATCGGCGTTCGAGCTGCGCTGCGCGACCCCTGCAAGATATATAAGGATCGAAACCGTCAAAAAGCCATGAGCCAGTATCCACGTTATGGTAGCCAAAATTTGAGACAGAAGGCTGAAGTTGAAACACAGAAGGGATCCTCGGATCCCGACCACGTGCCCGGCCTGTGAACTTGGCATCTCCGCCCCTCCCTCCGCCGGCTTCGCCGGCGAGGGAAACAGCTATATTGGGCCCTACGCTTGGGCCCTGCGACGGCAGAGTGCTTGAAGGTGGCGGGGCGCTACTTTCATGATCGCGCAGAATCAGTATTTAAAGGCTTGGGACAACGGCATGCAACGGAGCGCATCCTGCCATCTTCCTCCACGACCATCGGCATGCATGAAAGCATGTCGAGGCAGTGGAACTGCAACATGGCTCGGCAAGGATTGCATGTTGCAGCAACATAGACACTAAGGTGTGCAGTAATGTGCGGCAAGTGCTGCTGCTACTCCATGTCCTGAGATGCCCCTGCTAGGCGGGACAGTTTAACAGTTTGTGCATGCTTGCTGTTGTGTAAGTGCTTCACTCGATGATACTCGATATCTACATACTATCGATGTCGTTCCAAAATTTCTCGAGAGTCAGATGTGATTGTCTGGCAAACTTCAAGTTGACCAAGTGCGGAGTGACTGTCGGCTTGCCTCCAAGATTAAACGCAGCCAAGTGGCACGGAGTCCAGAACAAGCACGTAGATGTTGGGCTGCCGTGCCAAGTGCGTGGGTCCTGGAGCCACGGCCACGGCCTGAATTTCTAGGCACGCAAGTGTGTTGACTGTTGACTGCACTCCGTCCTCGAGCATGGCTCCGCAGAACCCTCTGACCGGGAGTCAGCGGTATGGATGTGTGGAGCCTCGCTGCCATAGCCACCAGTGTTCGAAACTGTTTGGCAATTCTTGGAGCCGCTGCTTCAGGTCTACCCAAAGACTCAGGCACGCACGCACTCTTCCCATTTCCCTCAATGACAACGCTGGCACCTCTTACCTGTGCCAGATTGGCTGAGCCGAGCTGTAACAGATGAGACGTAGGTACTGCAAACTAGCTTCTACTTGCTTTGTTCTTGTTGTCGGGACATCTGTGATGCATAGGGCATAGGTTGTGCTACTACACAGTCACTACACAGTCACACACCACATTTGACCTTCGAAGGGCATACATGGCATACAGTCGACATGTCGTCCAAGGCAAAGGCACTCCGACAATTTCACTTGATGCCTGGCCGTGGAAAGCCCAAGTGCTGCAACAAATCCAGCAAACCCAAGTAGATGGCAAGTACAGTTCCTCCATCCATGCTCAGACAGAGCGTCTCTGGTCCGAGGCCTTCAGGCGTGCTCCTGTCGATCCTGCATCATGCATGAAGGCGACAACCAGCGGCAGGTTCATCTTCTACAGCTTGGATTCAACGAGACACAGAGGGAAGAGAGCGAAAGAGATAGAGAGGCAGAGAGAAGCACAAAAAGGAGGGCACGAGACACAACACAGGGCGAGAGAGAGTCTGAGATTGCAGGGGTGTATCTTCCCAAAGCCAATACTGAAGGCCGTGCAATCGGCAAAAGTAGTTCCACTCTGTCCTGCGGTGAGCTTGTAAGAGAAGGGCTTCCTGCTGACGGCCGCAGGCAAGACTCGAAGCCGAAGCTCCCCCTCCTGTGCAAGAAGTCTATCCGCCCGCTCACTGCGCTCTCGTTCCAGCTGAGGCCTGGAAGATCGTGAGGTTCTCACCTTCGAGCACGCTCGGCCTCAGCAGATTCTCCGATCTCGTGGATGAGCCAAGCCTGTTATCTCGCGCATCAGCTGTGCATGATAGGGTTATGGCAGCCAAGAAGTGGTCGCCTGTGCGCACGGAGCCTGGCGACCACGCATGTCTTTGCATTTTGCTCTGTTACATGATCCTCTCTAGACCGACCACTAGCTCTAAGACCAGTGGGCGAAATTATTTTTTCTTGTGCTGTTGGGATCAGGGAACTGATGCCTGTGTCGGGTAAGATTCATGGGCACGCAAACTTGTTACAGGAGGGCTCGCATGCAGCTGAAATCATCTGCAAGTGTTGTGCTGAGGTCCAATGAACACGCAGTATTTGCAGCAAACATTGCGGGCAACATACACACCGCATCTTCAGGTGCAGTCTGCTTGCACTGGCTAACGTTTGCAGGCACCACCGGTGAACCCTAGCAAGTGCTCCCCATGCCGGTGCTCTCGCTTATTTCGGGCTAGTCTTGCCAGGCTGTCCATAATTACCAGCCATAGGATGGATCGATTGCAATCCGGCAAGCAAGGCTGTTGGTGCTGGCTCCAGGTCAGCGGCGATCTTTCGCAGGTTGTCTCTCAAGCCTTTGACCTTGCGACAGTGACGCGTTCTGTGGTTGCTGAACCAGGGCGTCGAAAGCCGAAAGCCGAAAGCCGTCCCTCAGCTCTCTGCACAGAGTGTGTCGCCACGAAATCCATCCTCTGTGTCCTCGCATTGGGATGGCACCTTAGTTGTTGCAGCTGGGCGGCGCCCCCCCCCCCCCTCAACTTCGCGGCTCCCTTCAGCCCAAGCAACTGCAGTCGCAGCTATGCAGCTCCATAGCGCCTTCATGCCTCGAGGCCATGCTGGGCATGCTCAATGTCGTCTGCACTGTGGGCAATCGCTTCGTGTTTATGTCCTGCTAGGACGTCATCTGGCTGAATCTGGCTGTAGACACGCCGATGTTGGAAGTTGCTCGGGCTTTCGGCTTTGAGCCATTGCGAAGACGCATCATCTAGTGCAGACAGATCCACACGGCGTGGCCTTGGAGTGCAACAAACCCTGGGAATGCTAAACCGACTATAATCGTAGATGAACGAGGCGCTGGGTCTACCTTTCTGCACAAAACCCATCATCACATCGGCTTGGCGAGAATCACCCCAACACAACCCGTGTGGCAAAGACAAGAAAACCGCCTCGAAGGACTTCGACCTGGGAAAGACCGCTGCAAGGTCTGGGGCTGCTTTAAGAAGACGGCCTTGTTGCGACAGCCGGAACCGGGGGCGGCACACCCACGGAGCTGGTGCACCGCAGTTGTTGCAATGCCTGGGCCAGGGTAGTCAGGCTGAAATCCCTTCCATTCCCATCCCCTCCTCCATCGCTTTGCTCCTAACCCTGTCTGCGCTATGCATCTCTGTGGCCACAGCTGCCGTTCGGGCTTGTTGTCCTCACCACAGCGAGGACCTCTGTCGTTGAAGCAGTTGCTGCCTGAAGTGCATTCACACACACTGGGGGCCGGGCATACCCACCGTTCGCGGGTCGGGGACGCAGTGCTATCCTCGTAGACTAGAATATAGAAGAAACAATGGTAAGTTTTCAATGTGGTGGCCTAGCTGGACTCCGCGAACGAGCCGCCAAGTCACCGCACGGGGTCTTAAGCGTCTGTCCTCCATGGAAGCCAGCCTTTCTAATCTTCTTCGCATCAACGCTGCCTGGATGAACTCCTCAGAGGAAGCAAGAGCTGCTGCGTGTGGCGTTCTTCGAAGCAGGCTCCAGCAACCCTCGTGCAGCCATTTTCTTTCATGAAGCTGCACACAGCATCGGATGAGCATTCATGTCGTTCCTGGTGCAGGCAGGAGCCACGCTCACAAAGCGCCACGCTCACAAAGCATGACTCTCTCGCAACCATCTGCCTGCTTGGTCCAAGGATTGCTGCAAGCTTCTCGCCTGCTCTTTCGTGGCAATGTACTTTGCCTCAGGTCTCGGGAAAGCTTTGAGGAGAAGAGGGTGCCGCAAGCACAACCCGAGCCACAGGCCATCAGCTCGGTGGAGCGTAGCGAGCTGTGCCAAAGCATTTGCCCGACGTAATCACCTTAGATATATGTCGATTTCCCGCTCATTCTCGTACTCTCCGGACGAGGCACATTCGACTCACATCGGATACACGTATGTCCGCTTGACATCACTTACTCTCAGTGCTGCCACAGCTATCGTAACAGCTTCTACGAGAAGAAACATTTGTGACCATGTTGCGCTGGCGGTCGGTTTCGAGTTGCTGCCACCGCTCGCTGAGAAAGTCCCTGCCAGTCGCACTGCGCAAGCCCGAGAGAGAGGGAGAGAGCCGGAGAGAGCGAGCGAGACAGAGGGTGGTGGCGAAGGAGCGCACCGGAGGGCACGGGAGCGAGAGAGACGGAGAGACACCACGAATCCATTCTCGGAGATGCCCAGCATCAGCTAGCTACTCTGCCGACGCACGACTGGAAGCAGGAAGGCCTCAACTTCTCCTCCAGGCGGTTCCTTAATGATCTTTTCTTCAAGACAAGATGAGAGGTCACATCCATCAGGCTAAATCGCCTCGTTCCGGTCTCAGTTTTACCCTGCGCCAATTCACAAGGTCCCTTACTCTTTCCTGCCAAACTTCGATGCTCACACTCAGTTCCAGTTAACAAACCTACGGTGTCATCCGAGGCTTTCAAATCACACGGCTCTGGGCTCCGCCGAACTCCTGATCAAGAATGGTCTGCACAAGCATGGGGTCCGTCCGCACCAGGCCCAGCACCGCAAAACTCCAGGGCGCGGCGGCGCTGGCGCAACCCCGGGAACGGAACGGAACGCGAACGAGAACGGAACCCTCAATGATTTTTCGCAGGTCGGGAAAATTCATTGGCAAGTGGTGGTATGCATGGGGAACAACAAGAAGCGAAAAATCTGCATTTAGGCAGCCAGCACGGGCCTGCGGTGTTGTTTTCCCCTGTCTTGCACGCTGCCTGCAAACCTCCTCAATGATTTTGACATTTCTGTAACTTTCATTAGTGAGTGTTGGGATGCATTGTGAAGGGCAACAAACTAAATTTCACGAACTTGCCAGCACGGGCTTGGGGTGTGACTTGCCCTTGCCTGGAAATCTCCCCAATGATTCTTGGCGCTGCATGGTGAAGGGCAACAAACTAAATTTCCCAAAGATCGGCAGCCAGCACGGGCTTGGGGTGTGACTTGCCCCTTGCCTGAAAATCTCCCCAATGATTTTTGGCGTGTCCGGAAAATTCTTTAGTGACCGTTGGGATGCCTGGTGAAGGGCAACAAACGAAATTTCACCGCGTTCGGCAGCCAGCCCGGTCACAAGGTCCAGGGGAGAGCCTGCATTGCGCTCGCGATAAAGTTCCCCCACTTTTCACTGGCGAGAGCCGAGTTGTACTCGGAGCTTCGGGTTGCGCAAATGATTTTTTGCATTCTGAATTCTGTCTAACAATCATTGGCCCCTTCCCGGGCAATTGCATTGCACCTGCATATGGTAGGACGGAACGAACTGAACGGAACGGAACGCCAACCCCGGAACGCCCGGAACGGAACGCCAACACCCTGATAGAACACTATGTTTCACACACAACAGGCCGAGGCACTCATCAAACCGTTCCGCAAGAAGCGCTGCCGCACGTTGCTGCTGCACCTGACAAAACGAGCAAGTGTCGACTCCATGCTTGATGCTTTCAAGCCTTTGCCATCGAGGCTCGTGCAGCAAGGTATCCGGCGACTGTCGTCTCCCGCAAACTTGCTAAAGCCAGTACTAGAGTAATTTACAAGCCGCGCCTCCCATTGGGCCGGGTCCCTCAAGGCTTTCACGATGCCCTCGGCGAATGCCTCCGCGTCCTGTCTGAGTCAACTCTCTCGAACGGCGCCCTGTACGGAACTCCGAAAGCGTCATCCAGTCCTCCCCTCCAGTTTCCACCACATAGCCCGGGAAATCATCGGGTGCAGCGATGCCTTCCACGCCTACAGGGGTGGTGACCACCACCAGGCCATGCTGCATTGCCTCCAGGACCTGCAATGCTTGGGTTTCAGCGGGCTTCCTACATTTTGCTGCATCGGGGTCAGTCGAACTCATGTCGCTCAAGGCTGATTGATAACATGCAGCCCACCTTCCCCTTCACACCGGCGCCGTAACGCAGCGGCGCTACCAGCAGGTGATGTTGCTGCATAGCTTTCTTCACAGAGCGGCAGTAGCCACGTACCTCAGCTGCTCCAAAGAAGCGTCAGAGACAATGATGCCATGCTCAAGGACCAAAGTTCTGAGCCAGCAGCGTAAGCACCGAGGCTCTCTTGAGTGAGGGCAGCATCTTCTGGAGTCTGATTGGCGCCATAGACACTCAGTTCCAGATCGGGCAGCCGTTGGCGCACCAATGGCCAGACCTCTTGGATGAGCCACTTCGCACAGTCCCGATTCGGCCTGTGGCGCCAGTTCCTGGGACCAAGAGACCGACCAAAAAGTGGAGGATGTGGGAGTCTTTTTTTGTGTTTTTTGGTTTTTCCAGGACCCAAGATGCTGGACCGCTCAGCACTCCCAACATCTCATCTGCACATCGAGTCTCCCGATGAACATGGCGCCCTGGCGACGTTGATAGCTGGGCAGCACCCGAGAAGGCCGAGCAAAGCCGAAAGGTGCCGCAGTGACCTGCCGTAGTCAGTGTAGTCATCTGCCTTTCCTTTCAAGGCACGTTGGACAACTGGGCCTTCCATCTTGGCACCCCATAGGTCTCCACTAGCAGAGCCCGCTCATCTTCCGAGATGGCCAGAATGGCATCACATCCTCTGCGGGTCAAGGCCGAGTTCGTGCAGAAACAACTGAGATCTGAGCCATTGCATATTTTCTTGAGGCCGAGCTGCGATGGATAGAAGCCAGCTCACGCTGCAAGTCCTCGTCGGAGGCCTTCGGACGGTAGGAGGCCTTTTGTTGCAGGCAACAGGCTGACGTCCTACGTGACAGGCCACGAAGATCTCGTGCACTCCAAGGCACAATCGCGCCGGCATCTGCACCTCCTGCAATGAGCCGTTCCCGACCTGCTGCGCCCAGTCGAGCATTGTCAAGCTGCCGAAACTTCATGATCCCGCGACAAAACACTGTCAAGACTCCTAGCCGCGTACATCTACTGAGTCTACTGTTCCTCAGGGTCGCACCGAGTCGAAGAGCATGGAAGTCCTGCATGTCCTCCCAGCGAGGAAGGCCAAACCATTGCTGGCTCCCTCTCCCTCTGGGTCTCTGTTATGCACTTGGTGTCCAGGACGCGCATGGCATCAGGTTGCCTTTTCCGAACGTAGTGCCCAAACCTTGGACACTCTGTCTCAGTGCATGCGTTGACTTCGGAGCTACTGAATGACCCGCCTCTCTTCAGCATTGAAGCCATCGAAGACAACGAGCTCCGGATCTCCAGAAGACTCCTTTGAACTTCATGTGGGTCCCTGATGAATCACCCCGCTCCCCTGTACAGGGCTTCGGGATCCTATATTTTGGGGGGGCCCTTGAAGAAAATGATTCGTGAATGAGCCATCGGTCTACAATATTTTTTGTGCCTGATGTTGACAATATTGAATACTACCTCGTACTATCCTTTACTAAGTGAGAGGACCACAGCCCGCAAGCGAATTCACTGGCTGAGTGGGCAGCCACGGAAGATGACAATTGGTAACAGTGGGGGGTGTTAAGACAAGAGCATGCTGCAGATTTTTGCCGGGTTTCAAGAGCCGCCACTACGGAAGCCTCATCGTTGCTCTTGATGCCTTGCAGCACAGTCGAACCCCTCCCCCAAACCGACATAGGTGAGCTGGTGCAACTGGCTCTTGCCAAGAATCGGAAACACTTCACCTCGTTCGCGGCAGACAGCTTTCCCTGAGAATTGCCCGGACGCGCCGGCGATGCAAAAGAGACCGGATTGCCAGATTCCTGCAGCTGAAGAGGCAAACGAAAACGAATCCGTGCCGCCGGACATGCCTTAAGCCTTAATGCTTATGTCTTGCTGGTGAGAATCGAGGCTGCAGAAGCTGCGTAGTAGGTGAAGCCGGCCAGCCGTCACGCGCCCTGCAGCAGACACGTCCGGATCCGGCCAGTTCGTGCTGATGACCTCGCAGTGCTTGCAGCTCACAAGAGCCTAAATTAAATTAAAGCACCGGAAAGCAAAGCGGGAAAACCCAGCCCAGGCCGAGCCGAGGGACCATGGCGTGGCAGGGCGCCGCATCGGGTCTCCTTCGGCCGCCTGCCTCCGCCGGCTTTTCAGCCAGCGAGTCCGAGTCTCGGGAAGCTTTGACAGCCTGAGGCACACCTTTCACTCGCCGGAAGATGATAGCCATGCGCCGGTCTGATAGGAAATCTTCCTGAGGATTCAGCATCAGATGGACAAACCCTACGACATTGTGCTGAATGCAAGTGCAGTTAATTCCAGCTCCAGCCGAGCGACAGGCTCCGGAATTCCATGCTGCCACTCGTAGCCTGAGCTTTCTGTCACGAGGAGATATGCCGCCTCTACATTACATGAAGTCTCAGGCAAGGCAACCTTGGACAGTTTTCAAGCTGCACGAGTTGTCTCAACGCTCCTGACTGGTTCGCTAGCCTTTCGAGAAGACTCGCCGACCTGATCCTAACATTCCTAAACTTCCTAAACGCTCCCCAAGTCTTGTTGAGCCGGGAACGTGCAGAACCACGCAGCACCAGCAGTGATCGCGGAGGTATGGCCACACGTACCACAGGCGCATCGGCACCTGTCCCAAAGCTGAGATAGCAATTGTGCAGGCAGCCCTTCCGGAAATTGACTTGCGAAGTCTGCTAATCGCCATGCCAAACCAAACATGATGCTCAACGCCTGTAGTCTTCGATGAGGGTGCGCTCAGGTTGGACCTCCCTCCCATCTGGAAAGTCATCACACAGTCCCCCATGACGGTGACTGAGCAGACACATTCTTCATAAAGGCCGCGATCGTCCCAGTGAAGCAGCAGCCTGGAGTCATCACGGCTGTAGTCGTTGACATTTGCCTCTCAGGAAGTAGTCCCCTAAAGAGCTTCACCCTCCCAACAAGCAAAGATGTTTCAATGTTGCCGGCCTCATTCGGCACGAATCCCTTGAGGCAGCCGCTCCATGGCAAGCCTTGTTGTGAAAGCCTCTGCGACACCTCGCTACAGACTCTGCCACAAGTCGCAGGACGGGTGACAAGTAGGTCGGCAAGGCTTCCGAGGGAAGGGCAAGCCCGAGGATGCCGTCGCATGGCAGATCCACTTCGCCAAGCTTTGGATCGGGAAGGCCTGCTGCACAACTCTCGACTCGTTGTCTATCACGTCTATCACCGTCTCCAAGGCTCTGTGCATTATCAGCAACTGCTCGGTTCTGGTCGTGAATCCGAGCAACGCACCATTCGTGGTCTCAGCGAGCCAAGGACACCGAAGTGCTTCACCTCGGCCGCCCTAGCCGCCCTAGCCTTCTCAAAACTGACATCCGCTTGATGTGGCCTCATGGCCTGAATGTTTCGTGACGGGTAGCCCGGTAGAGGGTTGGAACTCCGAACTGTTCTTGGCTCCACTCCGGCTCGCCCTGGTCCAAAAAGTCTGCGAGCTCCCGTCCTTTTCGAGGCCACAGTGGGCAGTCTGCACCATCACGATTCGGCGTGTTACCAGGATGCCTAGGCCTAGGAACTACGTGGCAGGCACCAAAAACAACCTGAGCTCCAAGACCCAGGTTCCCTCTGCTTCACTCAGGAAGTCCGGGTACAGGTGCAGCCCCTTCACCTGCTTGGCAGCCTCCTCCACGCTCAAAGGCGCCTCTGTCCAAAGCCCATGCTTCTTAAAGTTTATTGCTGCTGGCTGGCACTTCAATGTGAACATCGGGTCACTTGTTGGAGTTTGGTGCAGGTAACCTACTTTGGGGCAAGGTGCCGTTACAGCTCAAACTCGGCACAAACGTAACAATTTTATACAAGCTTGTGACCTCTGTGTGTGTGTATTGTATGCATATTCATGTATGTGTGCATGTATGCATGCATGCAGAGTGTATGTAACATTGGGGAGGTTCGTATTACATTACAGACACGATGCATATGTATGAGCATAACCACCTGTGTATGCACAGAGGCATGCACCGGTGGCTGCCGGCTTCATGTCATGTAACTGCTGGCTACCATGTCCCTGACCCTGCCTATGGTGTCAGAGTGGCCTGTATGCTAAGAACATATTGTAGGTACTTGAAGGATGGCCAATCCTTATCAATCCTTCACATCCGCACAATCCAAGACCCGATGGGTGATCAGTCCGGGAAGGTGCATCACCCCCCTGCAACTTATGACAAAGATGATCTGCAACTTGGCAATTTGCTGCTGTTAGGAGTGGCTCCCATTTGTCCATTAAGGACGAGGACAGTGTACACACACACACACCCCTTAAGCAAGCGCCTGGGTCCGTGTGTATCTCGCTGTGTGTATATGCAAACATTGCATGTAATAGAGCGTAGCATAGCATGACACCCCATATGCATTTGACATTTGTATAATCGTACACTCAACCGGACCTCTTACTTGCCTTACAGGTAGCTCGTGGACCCGCTAGGAGCACCGTTCTGCACGAGGATTTGCGTATAAAGCTTAAAGGACACGTCCGGCGCCCTGGCTCGGACTGCGTATCCAATGCACTGGCAACCCCACCTGGGCAGTCCTTGTGCAGCGCCGCTGCAGCCGTGGACCTCGTGAGCAACGAGAGGCTCCAGCACCTCCCATGGGTTTGGCGGGAGACACTTCCTGTGTGCACCAGCGGCGAGCCTGATGCACAGAGCCTCAGTTGCGAAAGTAGGGACACTGTAAATAGCCCTATGACCAAGAGCTGTGTCAAAAGGTCGTCTTACATCTTGAGGCTCTATCCACACACCTGTGCCGCTTGGCTGACTCTGGATCCGAGCCCTAGGCAGAGGAAATACAGCTGCAGTCAGCGGACTGACATGGCACCGTGCCTGAAGTCAGAGATTAACAAAGCAGTAAAGCCATGGTCGCGTGACGTTGGCTTGAAATTTCCAAACATTTCCAAACTGGATGCTCCGAAGCCTGGCGGGCAGCGAGAGTGTGCCGTTGCTGTGCAGCAGCCTGAGCCATCCACAGCAAACGACGCAAGAAAGCTGGTTTTCAGCTCTGTGAGGCACTAAGACTACTATGGTCTGATGCTGCCTGGCAGCATTTGAGACCAAAGAGGGCCGGCGCACTGGTGAAGCAACCGTCGTCAGGAGGCTGGGTCCAATCATCGTGCTCGGCGTGTGACCCATGGCGGCCAGCTACCGTACCGCAACGGGTTCCAGCAGTCAGGCAATCGTTGCAGGATTCCAACAAGCTACCGTCAGTGGCAGGCGACTTCTAGCAAGCATGCATGTTTTTGAAATGCTCAAATGTCACTCAATATGGCATAACAACCCCAAAGAATTACTCGGCATGTTGAGCCAGTGGCCTTGAGAACCCACCATGCTCAACTCAGTTGCGATTCGAGCCGGGCACTCAGGATTCCGCGACCAACAACGATTTGACCAAGATGGCACAGCATGATTCGAAGGTCCTGGGACGAGCTTCGAACCAAGGAGACCTCCTCCTCTTTTGCCTTCCTCTCTTGCTCTCGGAGAGCTGCTTGCCGAGCCTCCTGAAACCGAACAGATGGGACTAATGCCAGCGCATGCGGCCACTTGCAACAGGCTACGACGACCATGAAAAAGGAGCATCTTGAAGGTGTTCGGAGTGTTCGGATGGGGCAAGCTAGAGGTGGAAACACAGAACACAACCTTGTTTAAAGAGTGTCGAACGATGATGTAGACGGGTGAAGTGAGAATCGCGGCCCTTTCGCTGTCGATCCTGCAAGGCTGCGAAAGCAAATCTATCCACTTCGGGGAGCAACTCGCATGCAGCCAGTGGTAGATCCCCTGTCGCACAGGAAGACAAAGCACTCTCACAAGAGAACACATCGAATCGACCTGTCTCAAAAAGGTCCGTGAAAAGCCAAAGCGCTATCTCCCATTCTTCAGCTCTCGCACATGCAAACAGTGCGCTGTTGTGCGTCATCACATTGCCCACCCAGCTTCTGCGCGATAAGTCCACAAGCAGCCGGAGCGATTCACGCCACTTGAAGCCTCTCTCACAAGCCCCAATAGCTGCACTGAAAGCAAAAAGCCCAAACTCCACAAGCTGTGCATCATCATGCAGAACCTGGACAGATGTTTGCCATTGCCCAGCATTGCCCAAGGCCCGAAGTAGCGAATTGAATGTGATGATGTCTACCTGCAAGTCGTTGCAACATGCCTTATCCATCAGATCGCATGCCGTGTTCCACCTTTCACCCTTCTCACAGGCGCTGATACTCGCGTTGCATGCGATGAGGTCGTTTCGCAATCGCTTGACTCGGAGCCCGAGCAAAAGCAGAAAAGCACGTTGCCACTCTGCCTTCTTCTCACAGGCACTGATGGCAGCACTATATATGACTCGGTCCCCTCGCAAAAGGCTGTGCTCCATGTCATTGAGCATGGCCAAGGCACACTCCCACCTGCCACCTTTTTCTGCAGCGCTTATTGTTGCACTGTATGCCTTGACGTCCGCCTGAATGGTAGCGGAAAGCATCTGTGCAAACAAGGCCAGCGCAGGTTGCCATTTCTCAGCCTTTGCGCAAGTGCTGATAGCAGCACTGAAAACAACCACATCACCATCCAACTTTCCTTCCTCCATGTCCACAAGGAGCTGCAAAGCTTGCTGCCACTCCCTGTCGCACGCGCTGATGGCGGTAGTGTAAACGATGACGTCGCAGGAAATCAGAGAAAAGTGCATCTGACGAAGGAGCACCAGCGCACCCTGCCATTTGGAAGCCTTCTCGAAGGCTCTCAGAGCGGCGCTGTGGGAAATCAAGTCCCTCTGAAGCCCATGTGGGAGACAGAACAGTTTCAGAGCTTCCTCCCATTTCCGACGTCTGACGGCGCTGGAAATCAATACATTACAGCTGCGTGTGCTGGCGATGTTGGGCTTCATGGCATGCTGCCGCGGTACGCCCTGCAGGTTCCATCAGCCCTGGTCGGCCCTTCATTGCGGGCGATGCCATCGTCGGGTGACCCTTGTCCGAGCTCACCTTGCTGGCTGCCAGATGCTGCCAGTGTTGAGAGCCGAAGGGCCAGCACAAAACCACACGAAGACGAAGAACCGGCAACTACGTCTGAGTGAGTTTGGAGACTCCCTACTCACCCCATTGTGCTTAAGATGGTGTCCCATCTGCAACGAGCTCTCATGGGATTTCTGTGGGACCTGGCCAGGCCTCCGCCTCCGCCTCTTTCTGCGCTTCGATAGCTTGGCGCTCCTCCTGTGCCAAACCGCCCAGAACGGAAGATGACGTCGCAAGCGAGTCCTCCTCCGCTTTCCGTGCAGCTTCAGCTTGCCGCTTGGCTTCCTGCCACAGACCCAGCGACCATGGCAGTTGCACTTGCAATGTCCGTGGCCTCCTCTGCAGCCTGCGCGGCTTCCAGGGCGGCCTTTGCGGCTTCGTCCATCACCTGGGCTGCATTGGGCTGCACAAATGCAAGAGCCAACACGCTCATCACAGTCAAAGTCAACAAAACAGGAGGTCATTGCCTTCTCCTCCTTCTCCTTCGTTGCCTCCTCCTCTTCCTCGTACGAATAAGACCTGACCGGGCTTGGCAGACCCACGGAAGCCGTTGGCTGCTTCTTGTAGACCGTAATACTGACACTTGATCTTCCGGTGGTGACTGCACCCTGTAGCACACGACCAAGGCTTCACCCGAAGCACACTTCAGCACTCCGTATGTACAGCTCACGAAGCTGCTAAGACGGAAGCCTCGATACTTTGAGTAAGGATCGAGACGAGATTGTCGGGCTTCACAATCCGACAAGTGCTCTGCAAATACACTACAATTTCGTTGCCTACAAGCCTTTGAGCCTGTGTGAAAAGGGGGTGGCATCTTTGCTCCACCCTCTGTTGATGCAGCGCTTGTTGCACAATTCTACTCTTAAGTAGAGTCTGCCAAGCGTTGAGACGCTTTCAGGAACATGACCTCTGCTTTCCATGTTCGTGAAAATATGCTGCATCAGGTAGTTGGAATGGTGTCTTCAACGCAATGTCAAGGAAAGCCTGCCCAACTGCAGGGGGTTTGCGGCAGTCGTCTGCGGGACTCATATCTGCGTGTTTCAACTGGGAAAAGGCCACGCTCGCTGCAGTTCGACTACCCCAGGGCTTGAGGTGCTTACGATGGCGCCTCAGCAATCTTTCCATCTCTCTTGTGCCCGATCTTCCGTGATCCGGAACTGATTGAGACAGTATAACTTGGAATCTAGAAATCACGCGAGATGCGCGTTTTTGGGGCTCCCTTCTTTCTGCCTTTCTTTCGGGCGGCTTGGAGGAGCTGCCCCGCACCCCTTCTTGTACATCAAAGCTGCCAGGGGCAGGCCACAAGTCCAACCCGTCAAAGCAGTTGTCCTTTGGCAGGTCTTTTGAGCACGTGTTATGTCTCTTTCCCGCGCTCGCTCCCTGAGTCTCGCTTGACAGAACTACCGCCTCTGCGGTTCTGCATACGTACGGTGCGCGGTGTGTAGACTGACAGATATCTCATATCTGGTACATATATATATATATCTATCTCTCTCTCTCTCTCTCTCTTTCTTTCGCTATATATATATATCTCTCTCTCTCTCTCTCTCTTCTTCTTCAACACAGACAAAGGGAAGGCTGAAGACCCCCCCTCGCGCGCGTACGCGCCCTGTCAGTCTCGGTCTTATCTCTCTCTCTCGCTCTCTCTCTCTCTCTCTCTCTCTCTCTCTCTACTGTGGCATGCTTTGCATGGTTACTTGCTGCAGACAGCTTTAGGCCCCCCACTCGGAGGAGCCCAAAACGAACAGCTCGGTGTTTGGAACCGCCTCCACCTCACAGGCCAGAGAGCCTCTCTTCACCTCAAAAAAATCTCTCAACTTGTGGTGGCAGGTTTTGTAGGAACAAACACCTCGTCCTCCTCCTCCTTTTCTCTGGCCGGCTTTGGGGCCATCTCATCCTGCATCGCTGCCAGCGCCTCCGACAAGACACAAAGGATGACAGAGGGACTCGGACAAGTGATGGCTCCTGGCAGGCATTGGCAGGCCAGCCTTCTGGGCTGCTAACTTTCGGGCATCCGCCTTGGCTGATTTCTCGGCCTTGCTCTGCGGCAGCATGAACTCTCGTATGTCGTACACCCGTCTGCGTGGCCGGTCCTTGTCCGGCGTCGCCTTGTCCGGTGTCGCCTTGTCCGGCTTCGCTTTGTCCGGGTCAGGCTTTCTTCTTCTGCGATGCCTCGGCCTAGGTGACACGTTGTCTGCGCTGGAAGTCCCGAATTAGACCTTTGTCACCACACCTACGGGAGCGGCTTCGCGAAGCGTGGTGTCGCCTTGCGAGTCACGAGCTTACACCCTTCGGCCTTCGGCACCGCGAGAGCCCAAAGCCCCGGCTCGCGACTGTCCATTCCTGAGCGCCGCCTTCGAGGCTTCCTCTCACGCTCATTCTGACCTGCATGGCATTGCATGGCATTGCATGGCAAAGGCAGCACATCCCGCTCCACATGTGGCGCAGGTCACGTGCCTCTGTCATGATCACGTGGGCGCTTTTCCGGCTCCTCATGCAGCGGGGCACTCGCTACGGTCGGCCGTTGATGTGCAGAGGTGTCTTTCGTGAGGCATGGCCTTTGGAACCTCTCTCGCAGCAAGTGGGCAGGATCGCCTAAAAAAGTCTTTCGCCGACAAATACAACTGCAAGTGTGTAGAGGTCTGCCCAAGTGTGCCGCTCGCCGCGGCCCTCCCACACAATCGGCTCCTCCTTGCAAGCTCAAGGCATCTTCCCTCGTGAGGGTGAGCTCTGAACTCCTCCTCTTTCGGCTTCTCGTTGGCGGCGTCGATTAGCTCTTGGGGGATCTCCCTGAAAAGCTCATATCCCGTTGAGGCATCGAGACGGAAGGCAGGTTGCCAGAGGTGCCGACTCCCCGGCAATCTGGGCAGCTGCCAATTTGGCCTGGCTAGGATTGCACTCTTGTGCATTCAACTCTGGCCTGGTGGGTCATGAAGGCCAGTCTGACGTCATCGAAAGAAGGCATGGCATAGTAAGTGGCTCTGCCTTTGCGAGCTTGGGGTTCAAGTGGCACCTGAACGACGCATGCAAGGGAAGGAGGTCTCTCCGACATGGCCAACTCATCAAGTATGCATTGATTTCCTTTTCCGATGGACTCCAAATGAGCATAACATTCAAGAGAGTTCAGGGAGTGACCGCATCACCGCCTTCAGCAAGCCTCCGAGAGGTGCTGCACCAAGAAATATTGCTATAATCTGCAAAGCGCCCATTCTGGTCTGGGCGGGCCACCTGGCCTCGAATTATTGGAATCGCTGTGCTCTTTGGCAGTGTTCCAGACCCTGGCTCTGCTTTGGGCCCAGGTTTCGCGCGGCTCAAGTGCTTGTTGACTTGATCCTGGCCGCGATGCAGAAGTTGCAGAGCGCCGCTGTGAATTTCAGGCAGCAGCCCACGTCGAAAATATTGCGCCTGACTCGCGCAAAGCAACACGAAAGACGAGAATGAGAGGAGAAAATTCGTCGGGGAGAAGTCCGTGGAGAAGTGGCATTCAGTGCAACGAAAACTATAATACGGAGGTGGTGTTTCCTTCTTTTGAACAAACTTTCACAAAGGCGCAGGAAAGTCAAACTGCAACACATTCCTAATTGAAAGCAAAACATTGCTCCATGACAAGTTTTGCTTGATCCAAGGAGTCGCACACAGATTAGCGACTGCTGATGCGAGGACGGTACAAGACTTAGTCAGCAAGAAGACAGACCCCGGCCTCAGTCAGCAAAGATGTCTGGCAGAGACTCGAACCCGCCGCAGGCCAAAGGCAGCCCAATCGGCAGGGAAGGGTTCAAGGCAAAGCTGCAGCTGTCGACGATGGCATTCGGGTTCCCACCTTATCTCAGCAGGCGATGGAGGTGTGGGTAAAGGAAAGCAGGCCTGTTGGAAACAGGGGCCGTTTCTTTCTTTTGTTGGGGCCCTGAGCTAGTCGAGACTCCCGCTGTGGGAACGTTTTCCAGTACCAACAGCAGACGGAGGGCTCTCTATGATGAAGCAGGTTCAATTTGACTTTCCGCCTTCTATCAACTCAGGGCACCGCAGAGGTCGCGGATTTGGCGCAACAAACATCTGTGCACACGGTCGCAGTGAATCCCTTTGCTGTCGATCTTGCGGAAGACTCCTTCACGGAACAAAACCCTCCACAGTCGGCGCAGTCGCAGAACAGATTTTAGGGTTTTAGGACATAGGCCAGTCCTCGGCCAGGCTGAGGCAAAACATAATCCTCGGGGAGCCAGAGCTGGGCTGCGCAGAGAATCCAAGCGGACAGCTTCAAGTCGGATCTCGTGCCCACTGTGCTGTGTGATGGCCAAGCGGCTGGATCCAAAAAGGTGTGCTTCAGCATCACCTCCAAGCTTGAAGCAAGAGCACAACGGAGCTCGTAATCATGATTGCAAAGCTGAAGATGGAAGTTTAGCAGGCCAAAGACCCCAGGCCCCAGGCCTTCTTCTGTGCATCCAGTACGAAAAGCCGCTTCGAAGCTCGAGGATCGCACTGCATTGCGACCTCTGGAGAAACTTTTGCAAACGGGCTGACTAGCTGCCACCGGCACTCTTGGCCTGCATGCTGCTCCAGGCATATTCCTGCGAACAGCATGGGGCATACAGCAATGGGCTCACCCGCTCAACGTTGCAAGCACACTCCTCGGGCGTCATGTCCAGGTTGAGCGTCGCTCTGCGCTGCAGCTTTGGGAGCGCCCAGAGCCGGTTTTCCACGCCAAGACCATGGCGTAACCGTCCCAGCTTGCCTCCGACAGAGGGATCGACCGGTGAATCACGAGCAAACAAACCCTATTGAAGCCAGGCCACGAATGAATTCCTGGGCGTTGGGGTTTGATTGGGGCACTTGACCAATGACATGTTTCTGCGCCGGGAAGGGGAAAGCTATCAACCTTTCGTTGCAACCGGTTTAGAGTTTAGAGTGTGATCTGACCCTGGCATGGGAAAGCCCTGGTTGCTGTATCTGATGCTCCGGGTCTGAAGCACTGCGTTGATTTCATATGCTGCCCGAGCGCGACGACCTGTGCATGAGGTACTTGGACTCGCTCCTTCTGCGATTGATCCTCCTGTCGCTCGAAAGCCATGAGTGGGTTGAGATGCACAGCACCCGAAAAGGCGGCTGTCCGTCCTGTGTGCATCTGTGGATTGTGTAAGTGCAGCTTGCCGTCTCACCACGTTCGAACTCGATCACAAACTCGGGCTCGGAAGGTCCTTGAGGAATGGACCGCTCTGTGCAAACATACATACAGACATACAGACAGACAGACATACATACATACAGACAGACATAAATACCGACATAAGCGAAAACTAGAAAACTAGACAACACATGAACCAAGAATAAACAAACACAGAAATGATAAATATGTACAACAATAAAACCATAAAGCAAGAAGTTGACAAATTCATGCAACTTGAATCAATATACAACATAAGCATTTACACATTCCTATAAATACAATCGTACCTGCAATCTTTTTCAGTATCAATAACTAACAATGTACATATATATGTATATGTATAGACATACCACTATTTATCAGAGTGTGTGTGTGTGTGTGTTTATAAAGAATACAAATGCAAATATACATGCATGAATAGATGAATACTTCAATAAATAAAACATATATATATATATATAGACACACGTCTGGGATCCAGCAACCCAGAACGGGATCAGCATAGCCCGGGACCCTAGAACCCAGTTCACGCCCCGAGGGGCAGGGCTGGCCACGGGACTTACTTACGCGATAACTTTCGGCAAATAAAGGCCGATGCTTGCGATGCGAACGCCACCTTGAGGCTGCCAGGCGATTGAGTCGATGAGCCTTACTACCACCGGGAATAGGAAGGCATGAAGCAGGTCATGGAGCGCTTCATCGCGATCCTGACTGCAAGGAGGGCCGCCCGCAATTTTTGCCACCTCCTGCATGTCGTGAAGGTTTGGAGAACCCCCGCGGCGCAACGGTCCAGGTGCCACTCTTGGGCATACTGGCAATCGAGGTCCAGATTCGCGCTCGGACTGCGCATGTACTTTGCGAGATGGTTCTTCAGGCAAGGGGGGCCAAGCATGATCTTTCTCTTCGTGCATTGGCTGGCAAAGCCACTGTGACCTCCCAGAAGCTCTTCACCGCGGCCGATGAGGGCAACACGATTATTCAAATCCAACAGCTATGCTTCGACTTGCGCTCACAAAAAAATTTGCCACTCGTGCACAACGAAATGCTGACCACGCGCATCACATCTGTCAGCCCTTTGGCCTGACTCTTTACTTACGGCACGATCTGTGGGGATTGGCACTTTTGAGGCCCCAAGGAAAGCGCCTGAGGTTTCAGGTGGAGCTTGAATTAGGTGATAGCAGAGGCTGCGCCCGACTCGGACTCTACGCCGCGATCAAAGCGGAATGTTTGGGGATAGACATATATATATACACACACACACACATACATAGACAGGTACATAGATAGATGGATAGATAAACAGACAGACAGATAGTCAAACAGATAGACAGATAGATAGATAGATTAAGGCAAATACATAAATAAATGAATAAACAAATACATAGATGGATGGATAGATAGAAAGATAAATGGATAAATACATACAGTACATACATACATAAATACATACATACATACATACATAAATTGAAGTGGATGTATACACACACATATATATATACATATATACATATATACGTATATACATATACGCATATTTAGACATACATACATCTATATATACATACATGTACATATATATATATGTATACACATACATGTACATATATATATATAATATATACATATACATATACATATACATATACATATACATATACATATACATATACATATACATATACATATATATATACAAACATAAATGTATATATACATATTATATATACATATACATATCATGTGTATAATGTGCATGTGTGTCTGTATCTGTATAGATAGAAAATACATATCTATCTATCTAACGAGCCATCAATCTATCTATCTGGGTATCTACATCACTAAGCTTATCGAGACCGACAATAGGATGGGACCTGAGGCCGGAACGGTGCTTGCTGACGAACTCATCCACAGTGATCATTAGAACCAGTGGCCATGTTGGCAAATTCCCTGTGCGCCCCACCCTGAGCAACAAAGGGTGCAAGAGCTTACGCCGGTGAATCCCATTGCCTTATGGGCCCCATGGCCCCCGCCGCTCTGCTGCGCCGCAGAAGCTTCGGCTCGCGGTCCGCAGGGCCATCAGGGAAGCGCCCTCGTGGCAAAGCTGCATCAAAGCCTGCCCAAGTGGTTGAAAAGCTACTGGCAGGGCTGCGCCACCTCTCCGAACCTCGAGCGCCGGCCCGGCAGTCATCACCTCCGACTCCGGCATGCTCTGCATCTGCAGGCTCTGCCTAATTGGAGTGACACACCAAGGCGTCTTACCACGACGGGTTTCCCGGTTCGCTCAAGCATTCAACGTCTCAGCTGCGGACAGGTCATGGCCCTGCAGAGCATCGACCTGTCGGCACAAGGCTCTCGAGGACAAGTAGTCGTGCTCAGCATGGAATTTGGGCAGGGTGGCTGCTTCATCACCGCGGGTTCACAGGTCAATATGGCTCATTGGGCCTCTACGGCTTTGCCTGACCCGTGCTCGTACAAAAAGGGTCTCGAGGACATCTCCGATGGCATGTCAGCAGTCGAACCCTGCTGTCGGATCAACTAACACAGGGCCACGCTGCCGTCTCTAGATAATTACGTAAGTAACTAGGGATCCTCGATGTGGCATGGCTCCACGACGACCGAAAACCCTCAAACATACACAGTCCAACAGTAAACCGTCAACGGCCTGGCTCCCCTCTCTCAGGGAGCTCCGGTGCGGCATGGCAGGAGGCATCTTTGGCTGCTGGCTTGTGTCTTGCGGCAGCGGATGTATCGGCTCTCAGGTTCCTTCATCAATGGGGCAAAGACAAAGCTCTATGCGGCGCACAGCATGGAGGCAGTGGACTCGGGGCCCGGCTGGTATGCCAAAACAACCTTAGAGGCAAGACAACCATCTCATTAAGTGTCACGGGACGGTTCCATCAGGTTACCCGCCAAGGTGGCCTTCATCGTTGTGGTGTCAAAGGCGGGTTGGTTGAAGTGGACGCCTTGGTTTGGCGGGCAGGTGACAGCTTTCACAATTGTCGACGACAAGGGTCGCGCTCTGCTCTGCGAACGACGTCGTGTCAACCATCGTCTTGGCCTAGCATTCCCAACATATCCAAGCGTATATAAGAAGCCACCGTTCAAGGCAGCTTCATTCACTGCATTGCTTGTTCGAGGCAAGCAGCAGCCCTCGCACCCTACCCGAACATAAGACGGCATGAGTGCACAAAACTTGCTTCAGCTCGTTGCAGTGCACCTTCCCCACGAGCCACGCATCTGTGATCTGTGCAAGTGGACCGAGCCTCTGTAAAGGCAAGGACGCGCTCCTCGACGAGGAATTTTTCCCTCGGCAACACGTTCAAGTATTGCTTCTCGGTACCACTCCGGCATCTTGCTACGTTACACGGGTGCAGACACTCGCATATCAGCCACAACAGCACTTCGTGGCCCCATGTGGCCCCCTGTGACCCCCTGAGATTACCACGTCCGCTTCACAACTTGGGCTGAACCTGCACCAAAATACCAAGCACGGATGCAAAGGCTCTGCTACGACACTGAGCATATCCGGCGACAGCACGTCTGAAGTACATTGACACGTTCGTGGTTACAGTGTTGTCTGTCGAGCATATTTGGTTTCGAGCTGAGCTGCATTCTGTTGCTCCAAGAAGTCGGCAAGGTCATGATATGACAGTGGCCATCGCAAGGCATCTGCACACCTGTGCACGTGGTGGACATCCACGAAGTTTCGCGACACAGCGATGCAATCCTGCAGATTTGTAACCATGTGAGGCACACCGCCCGGAACAACGATCATCTCACCTGCCTGCACCTCCACATCTACACGCCAGACGTCAGGCATCTGTTCCGGAAAAATCTGATCATGGCGGATTTGATGCCGAAACTGCTCCGAGCCTGACCACACTTCCAATTGCAGCTTGTCCTGCCGCTTCAGCACTTTGAACTGGTCACTGAGTTGCAGCGGCCAGAACGACCAGCGCTTCCGCCCCATGAGCACAAGTTGGATGAACTGGCTTTCGGCTCCGTCCACATGCGCGCCACACCGGGAACCCATCGGCTGGACGAACAAGCTTGGGTGATCCCAGAAGGGGTCCTGACCCTGCATGCCTGCGAAGGGTGACTTCCCGATGAGGTCGCAAGACTCAAGGAAGGTTGGCCAGCATATTCTTGAAGCCAACTCCGGGCAGGCAGTTTCGAGCGGATGATCAAAAAGAACCTGATGCTTGCCCGTTGCCCAGCCTTGCACGACACTTCTCAGGCTTTGGTTTCCCGTTCCTGCGGTTCCTTCATCTTGTTCCACTTGTGTCATCTTGGCCCACCCTTCACATGCTGGGTCATACTCCCTCAGCTGCAACTGACGCTCTTCACACATCTCTACCAGCTGCTGGAGATGGAAGGGAGGCAGTGTATCTGCCGGGCATGTGGCCACTACCGGCTGCCGCAAGATGGAATATCTCTTGAAAGCCTCATCAGACAGGAAGCTCAACCGATCCACGGCCTTGAAAGTCAAAGCAACATCGGATACGTCATGCGTCAGCTGCTCCTGCATCATATTCTCAAGTCTAGTGTCGGTCTCTGTGCACGGCTCAAGCCACTGCTTTCCGAGGCGTCTCCTCTTGCCCGGAGCATGGCTCTGATTAGCGACAGACGGATACTGCAAGAGGATCAGTTCGGCCGCGGCGGAAAATCGGCGTGCAGCTTGGAGAAGATTGCTCTGGCAAGCCAACGCGATACCACGTTGGGCACACTGCCATGCTCTTGCCGGATCCGGGGAAGGCGAGTACTCCAAAAGGCGGATGATCAGTTGGTCCATGGCTTCAATAATTCGTTCAGCCATAGCTCCGGAGGAGCCCTTTGGAACAGATTCGGCCCCTGGCCCATCCAGGGGCTCACCCAGGCCCAAATCTACCAAATCCTCCAGGGCAGCCGCGGCAGCGAGCCTCAAAGCCTGAGATTCCTGGGTGTAACCATTTGTCATGCAATTTGTGGCAGAAAAGCCAAGGAGGTCTGCTGCATGCTGAGCCTCTGCAGTGATTTCTGCGACTGTTAGTGTCTTGGGTTCTGTCCTGCTCAAAAGGCCTTGCAGAATGGGGTGTACTTTGGCCATCTTCGAGTCATCAAGTAGAGAAGAGATCATGTTTCCCAGTCGGGGCATTCCCAATAGACGACGCGCCATGGTCAGTAGGCAGCAGTTCGCTGGACGACCATGCGTGCCTTCTGGATCTCGGAAGCTCGGATGGAAAGTGCAAAGTGGAGGCTCCAGTTAAGTCTTTAGGTGCTTTGACCTTCGTGAGTCGATAGCAGCAAGGCATCACATCGTCGCACAATAATCACAATAGATCCGGCAATTGCGCAGTATCGGGGTTGCCGCACCTCTTTCCTTGAACTCCACGAGCGCGAAGGGCTGACCGTCACTGTCCTGCAGGGTGGAACGACAGGAATCGCAACCGTGCATGTGGGTATATATAATATTTAGTGCCTGGATACACACACAGATACAAATGTGTATACATATGTGTATATGTATATATATATATATACATATATTTTTTTACTTATACACATGTATATATGCGCATGTATGTATGTATGCATGCATGTATGCATGTATGTATGTATGCATGTATGTATGTATGCGTGTGTGTATGTATGTGTGTGTATGTATCTATGCATCTGTATGTGTGTGTATGTACATGTGTATGTAAATGTACACAGATATGATGCGCATGTAGGTGTGCATACATACATACATACATAAATACATACACACAAACAAACGTACAGACATACATACATGCATGCATGCATACATACAGACATACATACCTACATATATTTGTGTATACATACATACGACATTCCGTATATGTATATATGTGTGTATGTGTATATGCATGCGTGCATGTGTATACATACATACATGCATACATACATACATACATACATACATACATACATACATACACACATACATACATAGACATCATGCAGATATAGGTCTTAGGTATGGCTATAGACTATAGCCATAGTCATAAATAAAGATACAGATTCAGATAGGAACAGACATGGGCATCGAATGAATATGCATGCAAATATACATATGCATACATAGATACATATGTACATACATACAGACATACGTACATGCATACATACACACATACATTTGCAAATGTATATGTCTAAAAAAATAAGCATATATATATATGTATATACACACACACACGCGTGCGTGTGTGTGTGTGTGTGCGTGTGTGTGTGTGTGTGTGTGCTTGTGCAGATATAGATATAGATATATATATATACATATACATACATACAGACATACGTACATACATACATACAGATACCGATGTAGACACCAGGTACAAGAAAGGTATAAATGCACATGAAGATGCTGACGGAGATACAGATGTACAGATATCGAAACCCACACACACACACACAAACACACACACACACGCGCGCGAGCGCGCGCGCGCGCACGCGATCGCGCACAAACAAACGTACACACGCGTTTGCATAGAATGTGTACACACTAGAACAAAGGTACATTCCGCAACAAATCAACGGCTCAACATACACAGTCTGAAAGTGAAGCTAAAAACATGGTGAAAGCACTCAAACCGACATGGCAATTGAAAAGGCAAGCTGAGAAATAACAAACGTGTATGTGTATGTGTATATATATATAATATGCATACATACACATGTACACAAGGTCCAGGCTTACATGCATGTATGTATGCATGCATGTATGCATGCATGAATGCATGCATGAATGCCTGAATGAGCATATGAATGTGGGAGCGTATGTGCGTGCATGTATCCATTATACGGGTGTATGTACATGTGTGTGTGTGGGCATGTGGACGTGTCGATGCTTCTATTATTTTCTATTTCATCTATATAATATCTACAAGCCCTAAACCCCTGTGCCCAGTGAGGTTTCCGAAGGGATGGCCTTGTCCAATCGAAGCGCCTCCAGCTCACCGAACTGCTTGCAAATCACCCTGGCCAGGTATTAACCACTGGGATTCCTTAAGGCTTGCTATAGAAGTTGGTATAAGAAGCTTCCTAGAAGGGTTGGAATAAGGGTTAAGCGGGGTTGTGTGGGCGTTCCTGTACGGTCGGCATGGTCGGCAAAGTTGTCTGTGAGGGTTCCGGTTCAGGGTTGCTTCCATCTCAGGTTTTCCATAAGACGTGCAGAAGGGATACTATGCAGCCTCTTCGTTGCATGTTGCAGACTCCTCGTGACCTACTCTGCTATCTCAGGACGGGCCTGTATACCCGAGAGGGGGAGCCGAGCGGGAGTGCGGGCATCCTCTACAATCCCCAATTTCTTCGTACTCACTGACGCAAATCGCCACAAGCGATTTCGAGCTATCCGAACGGTCGAAGCCGTCTTTCTCACGAAGTTTTTGTCTCTAAAAGTGTCGCAGCAATGGCAGTCACCTCAAAGTTCTGATTGATCTACCATACTATAGTAGCACTTGACTTATGTCAACACAGACACACACACACACCGAAACGGACACTACCTAGTTTGAAATCTCAACCAATTGCTAATGAATGATGCAAACGTAGGCTCAAGGAGGTTCAGAGTGGGCATCCTTGTCCTATGCTCGAAGCGGCGCAATTTCCATGAAGGCGGTTGCTGCATTCACGGCTGACAAGGTGAAACGACGCGGCATCCATCCAGCAAAGACGATGAGACCACTATCACACACGACAACACAGAGTCGCATGAATGGCTACAGGCTGCGGTGGAGGCTTGAACGCGTCAGTAACCTCTGCATTGCCAAGATACGGTACCTGAGACCGAACAGCCTGGTCTTCGGTGTACCGAGCAGTTGAAGCTGCTCCGGCAGAGCCGTCCATCCACTTTGTGGAGAAGTGCCCATGTCGGAGCAAACATCTGAAGATCTAAAAGCTGAATCAGACTGGTGCACAAAGCACAACACCATACAGCATGCGATAGGCTGGCTGTTGGAGCTGCGACTCAGGACCAGTCTGCAGGGCTTGCGATTGGCAGAGTGTCTCTGCATCACGCAGCTCTCCTGACAAAGCAAATAGACAATGCTTTCCCAACCTTTCCGACAGCCAGGCGCTGCAGCTACATTCCGAACAAGAGAAACTGGGCGCTGGCATGATGCCTCATCCCATGCGAAAGTTGTTGGAAGTTCGACAGGCTCGACCGGATGGCATAGCACTGCCTGGCATGTGCAGAGCAGCGTTGCCATCATCTGCGGCACGGGTATGCAAGAAATCCCGAGCATGCACAAAGACGGCAAGAGCTCAAAGTTGACTTCATTGCTAGAAAGAGAGCGTCCGTTTGAGTCGCGTCGCCTGCGAAGGGCACACCCCAGTCCTCAGGATCAACAATCATGGCATCAGCAGCTGCTGTTCATCACTTGGGGTTCGGCGGTTAGGCTAGGATGTGTGCAGATTTCAGAGGCTTCACGTGCGAAGTCCTTGTTTTTGAGCAGCGGTGCTCCCCACGAGGGCTCCTGGAACCTGCAAATGGCCAGTGCTGGCCATGCGTCAGATACTGTTCCAACTGTTGCAGCTGTGGTCAACCCACGACAGGAAGACGTGAGCTGACGTCTAGCACGGCTGGACAAGGCCTGACACTGCCCTCGCCCAATGGGCTGGTGTCGATATCCGCATTGCTTCCTCCACCCTCACTCTCCTGCGCCAGGATTGGGGAGCCAGTCGGTCTTAACCGACCGCACAGTAGAACCATCAATCTAGCGCGACTGTGCTGACTCAGTGATGGCTTTTCAAGGACCTGCAGTAGTACCCTCATACAGCGACGACCCCCTCGAAGAGAATTACGTAGCTGTAAGATGCTGTAAGGCAAGGCTGTAAGGGATACGCACGCAACTTGCCTCGGGCGCAGCATGCTTGTCTGCAAAGCGCTGCAGGTCCATCTGCTTCAAGTGGCCTGGCTGTCCCAGCTCTCGTGACGACTTGTTGCCATGTTTCTAACTCCCAAACATCATATTTTTGAACCAAGAGCTCGATAGCTGACTCGGACCAGCAGGGACACAGCAAACCAAACACATGAGAAGATACAGCATCTTCGGGGCTTGCGGTGTCGCTCGGTGCAGGCGAGATTCAGTTGTTGATCAGCATGTACTTCGGAAAGTTGACCTGGAAGCACGGTTCGCGTGCAACAGGTGCTAAGCATCTCGTGCCTGAGGAGCAGGCTAATCCACCAGCCCAAACTGGTTTGGGCCGAGTGCCGGCTTGGCACTTCGTTCGCGTCTGCGCCAGTGTTTCCTGGAGCTCCTGCCCGCAAATCCAGGTTCCAGGTTCCGGTCACACATCGCAAGATTGAGAACAAGCAATGTCGAGAGAAGCCTGACTGTTCACATGTTGCAGACACTGCATACCACAAGTAACTATGCCATCCCCTCGAAGCGGAGCCTTGTTCACCTCGCCTCTCTCCGTGACCTAGACCGGCAAATGTCGGCCGTCTTGGCGGGCCCTTGACATTGGCGATAAGAGCCGGGCATCGGCGAGCTTCTTCCATCGGTTCAGCTCTGTGGAGAGTGGATGGCACGCCTGGCGCACAACGAGGCTCCGAGCTGGTGGCAATCGAATCTCGCTGGTGCCTGCATGACCTCGGCGGCCGACTGCTGCAGGGCCGGGGAGGAATGCACCTTGCGGATGGAGGCGAGCTTCTGGTGCGCACCATCCTGCAACATGTGGCAACTTGATTATCGTGCCATGATGCATACGTCATCAAACTGCTGCTTGCGCTCGCACTGTCGGTCCCAGTAGGCACCAACTTTCGCCTGTTTGGACTCCAACTGTGCCATCGGTCCCTGGCTCGTCGGCTAAACGGCTACGCATGCTCAAGGTGGCGCGAAAACCCAGGTTCAGCCGTTGGCAAGGGGCAAGCACAAACCTTAGAGCCTGATAGACAACGACTTTCGTCTCTGCAGGATCGGTCCAGCCCAATCAAGCTTAGTTTGTAATTTCTCCCCCATACTGCCGAAACAATCTTTGCACCTGGGGTTCCTGGTCCGACGGCTTCCATGGAGCCGTTGCACCCTGCAAGGTCTCTCAGGTTGCAGTAGCCGTGAGTGGGCACTAGCTGTGAAGCTTGAACTTAAACTTAAATGTGGTCAAAGAGAGGCTCTATGCTTGTCAACACTGAACGCGTGGATAATAATATGAGTGGGTATAACATGTCATCTGGAAATCCTGCCTGGAAAGGCACATCTGGGCCCCTGTCAAGGCAATGCACCAGATGAAGCGACCAAGGTGATTTTGCGACATGTCCTGTCCTATCGCAGCTTCTAGGCTCCCGCCTCACAGGACCTCTGGTAAGAGGGTGGTTCCCGAAGCGGTATCCAGCATTGCTCGGGGCTAAACCGAAGTGCTCCGCCACGATGGCCTGCGAGCTTGAGACATGCTTGCCCTCGACATATTCCGCAAGCGAGCCTGATCCTTGATTCGCATCTCCGTGCGCATGCGCGCCTGCGCAGGCCAGGGACCGCAGCAACAAAAAATTGGAAGTCCGAAGTCCCCAAGTTGCCGAAAGCCTTCTCATGATCCAGCAGCAGAGTGTGGGGTTTGCGACTGGCGATCGGAACGAACGGCATGTCCTTGGAGCCCGCCGAGGCCTCGTTTGAGAAACGGTTTCGAAGCCCTCCTTCCGACCCGACTCGTACGAGAGGCCGACTTGGCCGGGGGCTCCGCCGTCGGCAGCTTTGAGCCAGAAGCAACAGTAAAAAACACTTCGCAGGCTGCCCAATACAAACAGACATATACGTGGACTGGGACTTCGGCCAGCTACACAACCACAAGCCTGTATGCGAACACCAAGATGCAGCAGTGACAGGCCTCACATCCTCGTCCGTAACCTTCGAGTGCAGTTCATCCAATGCCCTATCTGAAGCCAACCGAAGGAAGACACAGCTGCGCGTCACAAGCTCCATGGTTGAATTTCGAGAAGTCTGGGTCTGCGGAGTAAATCCCGGCAGGAGCCTCTGGAGCAAGACCAGCAATGTGTACCTGGTAGGTCGCTCTGATTCGGTGAGATGCCCTCTTCGCCTTCTGCAGAGATATACCATTTGAGTTCTGGGCCGTTCGGAGCCTCTTATCTTCTTCTGCCTCCTTGAACTTCCTGAATCAAGCAGCCGACTCGACGGCCGTCGCCGAAAGTTTGTAGAGGTCGTCAAACAGGAACATGACATGCAGCGCTGTCTCATGCTTTCTGTCGCGGTGTCATCATCGTCCTACAGACCTACAGAGCCACCGTGGACTGACAGTTGGAGTCACCTCCATGCTCCAGCCCTTAAAATGTGGCTTGACTTGTATGGTCGCGCAGCCACTCGACTCGGTATGGGAGCCCAGAGATGGGAGAGAAAAGGAGGCTGGACTACGACTAAGAGCCTCCATGACTGCACGCCAGCTCGATACCCGAATGGCCCTGCTCGCTTCAGCACGACCCTAAAGAACAAACCTTTTGAAAATCCTCTCAGAAACGAGCCTGTGGCTCGAGCTCCTGCAGGGAGTGATGTTCGAGTGTGCATGGTGCCGGGCTTTATGTGAGAAGCGAAGAAGGAAGGACAGGCAGATGGCACGAATCGGTACGAATACACGAAGTCCGAAAGACAACCGCAAGGTCGAACACAGGCTGACACTGGCGCTCGGATTACAGCTCATGCTGACATGTTGTCCTTGTGCTCAATTCTTGAGCGCTTGCATTGCGGGCTTGATGACATCAATTGCCTCGATGCACGTACCGGCGTCCACGCTGCATGTAGATTTTTGCCCAGGATTCGGTCCAGGTGCACTCTTCGCATACATCATCGGAACGACCACCCAGACCAGATTGCTTCCTGAGCCGCGCACGGCGAGTTTCCAAGTTTTCGGAAGTGCTGACACCGCCAGGAAAAAAATCACACCGAGGAACCGATGAAGGCCCACCACCAGTGGATAGACTTGGGTCCATCCGTGTGGGTCCATTTCCAGCCCTTGCCTCAGCAATGTGGCTCTCCTACATGCTGTTGGAAGCAGCACCCCCGCAGCAAGCCGGCCTCTCATCCAGTTCATCCATCCTGAACTCAAGCCCAGGCCGCAAGCCACGGACTTGCACATTGCAGCATTTGCACATCTTTCTGCGAAAGGTGCGCCACAAATGCTACAATGACTTGCCCCAAGTGTCCAGGCACCAGCTCGTCGGACCAGAAAACGACGGTGCCGAAAGCGTGGAGGGCGCTGACAACAAGCTGCACCGGATACCCTGGGATACTTCGCAGTCAGCACCCCCATGCAACCTGCCGCTCTCTCTTCCGAAAGGCTGTCTGAAATCCTGTTAAGCCAAGGTTCTGTACCACGCATTATCCAGAATTCCCTGCAGGTTGCTGAACAGATCGTGCGAAGAAAAACACACCAAGATTCCATCGGCTCGAGGAGACTCTCATGGAATGTCTCTCTCGTGGCCTTCAACCACATGCAGCACAGAGCACCGTCGATGATTCCAGCAGGCACCTCAACGGCCAAGACCACCTGGTGTCAGGCTCGCAAAACATGGAACAAACGAATTGGGGATGTGTCCTGCCTTGTCGATGCTGGCTTTGGTGCCGTGATAGTCGGCCGGTGGCTTCAGCTTGTAGCCTAGGATCGCCGAGTTGACATCGCGCCGACTACAACACTGTCCATGTGCTTTCTTAACGCTGTCCATGCGCTTTACGTGATGGCTGCATTTGCCGGCCATGCTGCGGCGGTCATAGTCGCCGTAGCTGAAGAAAGCTTGGCAAAACGGGTTCCAAGACTTGAACCTGATCCGCTGAGAACTTGATAACCGGCGCGAATCCTGGAAGCCACAAGGCTCAGGTTCGGGCCCTCCCTTCCATTCTGCATAGTCGAAGAAGTTCAGCAAACCTCGGTCGGATCAGAGGCCTTCAGGCTGCTTCCCTGCCTCATCCCAGCTGCTGTCGGGATTCTAATCTCCCAGCCGAAGTGGATGTAAAAGTTGGCGGCAAGCCACACCTTCGTGCAACTGATGCAGGTGCAGCCAGTGAGCCCCCACACTGCTGGTGCAGCTCGGCCGCCATATTCCATTTCTCCCAATACGTGAGCGTCATGGCCACAAGTTTCTCAAGTGCTACTCTTGCTGGCAGGTCCTGAATGCTGCGGAAAATACATATCAAGTCATACCCTCTCTAGCAGCTACTTAGCCATTTACGGCTCGCTCTGCAAGAGACATTGCCGCAAGGTGACCGAATGTCTTGCCAAGTTGTTCCCACACCAGCCTGAAGTACTCTGCCTGAACTCCCTGGGGCTCTGTGTTTGTCGCAGCTTCTTCCTCCTGGTCCTCAGGCCTCAACCGCCAGCACAGTAGCAGCCAGCGGGAGTTGCAGCTTGCAAAAGGGATTTAGCTTCGGGCACCGTTTCCCAAGGCCGCTGGACGTTCCACATCTGACACAGGGGCTCCAGACATTAGGAGGGTGTGACGAAGCAGCCAGCAACGGTTTCACAATACACCGTGAAGTCTTGGGTGCGTGACAGGACCGCTTTTTATGCACTGACTTGTGCTGTGCTTGGCGCCGTTGCTTTCCCCTTCCACTAAACTACCCGACTCACTCGCTCTGGCTTCGAGATCGGTTAGGAGGAGGGGGACCGACTGCCACCCGCACGGCGAGTCTCAATGGCGGCCCTTGCTCCACGCTGGGTCACCTCGAATTTAATTTACCCCCGTCAACAATGAAAGCCGCGCTGGCGCCTAAGTGTCCTAGGGAGGTAGACGACTAAGAAGCAAACACCGCAGCTCGAGAACTGTCAGCTCTGGTAGACAGTGGCAAGGCATGGAGGGTGCACTGCAATTTTCCCACGGAAGTAGGTACTTGATCTTGCTTGCTTCTTGTGATGAGTTGGTGCTCTACAGATTCGCCGCGTCAGGATGCCTTCGTCTTACCTCAAACAGTTTTTGGGTCCTTAGTTGGGCATGAACGCTTGGAACATGCAGCTCACGCCATTTCCCTTCACGATAGCGCATGCTCATTTCAACCTTCGCACCGAGCAGACAGCACAGCAAAAGATTCTGCATGAACGTTTCCGCAGGATCTGATTTCCACTAATACACTACTACTGGCATGTGGAGTCAGTTGCTGGGACACCCATGCAGATCCACTCAGAACTGCAAGCATCATGTCATATCATGTCTCTGCCAATCAGCCCTCCAACCAGCCACTAGCCGTCGAGCCTTCCGGGCCATGTCTTTGGAGCCCGGGTCCATGACGGAGATCTGAAACAAATCAGCAACTCCAAGCCAATACCAGAGGCTCTCATACGGACAGCACCGGCCTCTATGGCTTGCCCCATGACCTGCAACGATCGCGGGGCTCACATGGCACACTCTTGCACCATCGGGGAAACTGACACGCCTTGGTGCCACTTAGTTGATGTGCCTGGCAAGGGGTTTTTAACCACGGCCACTTGCGTGAAAGCCCGGGCCTCCAAGACACCCTTCGACGTGGCAAAATCGACTTGTGCAAAGAACTCTGCTGTCCTGGTGGAACCGGATTTCAGGTTCGCATGTTGCGCTGGTCTCACAGAACTGTCCTTCCCTGGTAGGAACGGAAGAGAACCTTGTCCATTGCGACATCTGTGCTCGAATGCTGCTGTCCGGATGCAAAACTCGCGAAACAGTTGAGTGCATGGCTCGCTCTATTGCATCGCACTGCCTCAGATTCGCATCTCCCAGTTTTGGAAGCATGTCCACACCAACTCGGAATTTAAGCCCTGTTGCCCAAAAGTCTCTCGTAAGACTTGCTCGCTGACCTGAGGACCTCGGCTGCATTTTGGAAGGACTAGAAAGGCTACGTTCTTTTCATTTCTATTCATACTGGCATATTCACAGTTTCATGTTCGCACTCAGGATAAATATTATTAGTTTTTAGTATTACTTGCTTGAGCCTTTTTATGTTCTACTATTGATACTTACTCTTAATTTATCTAATTTGTGCAACATGACCACTATTATCACCCCACTGGCGCATCGCCGGGACAGATTCCATCTGCATTGTCATCAAGTAGAATGCTCTATTCGGCAGTCCAAAAACGACGCAACCTGTATGTAGGGTCCCAGCTTAGGTTGCGGATGTAGATAGAATTGCGTGCCTCAGCTCACTGTGTCGCACGCCACCCCGTGTCCTCCTTGACACGCACCAACTAAAGAGTTGTTCTGTCCGTTGAGCCTAATCTCCGGCTTCAGGAGTATTTCTGCGATGTGCTTGAGGTGCAAGAGTACAGCGGAACTGCAAGAATAGGTGCTGCTCGTCTTCACTCTCAACCATGTCAACATGTGCAGGACTGGGTTGGAGTACTGGTTTCTGGAATTTTCTCGACTATGCACTGTCTTCTGAGGTCAGGACAGCAAACGCCATGGCTGCGAGATGCTCTGGAGATGGAAATGGAAAGTGGAAGTAGTAGTATGCACTCAAGGGGTTTGCCAACCGCAAGCCTAGTTGGGATCACACTCGAGCTAACTACTAGTCTCAGGTCGAAAAGCTGGCTCCAAATCTTGTCCTAAGAGTTGCCAACAGGCACCGCAAGCTACGTACCTGTATGAGGCTTCCAGAGCCCAGAGCCCCCTCACGTCGGCTTCAGGCATTCAGGTCCGGTTCGATATGCTCAGTGAGCTTATGACGGCACATGATGCCTCCCACCATACGGTGTTAACAAATTCAAGAGCATAACCTCGCTGGAGCCGATGAGGACAAGTGAGATGTTCAAGCGAAGGGAATGGAGGCGGCCCGCAGTGCCTTGCCACACTGAAATGACAGAACCGCCGTCAAGCAAACACCTCAGCATGGTCTGAAGTTTAAAGTGGCGGGTGTCAGACGAGCAACTTCACGATGCGCATGCAGTCATCAGCGTTTCTGAGCCGTCAAGACCCGCCGTGAAACAGGAAATACACGGCAACGACAAGCATCACTAGCATTAGCCCGGCGATCATGTAGACCATTCTCTTGTTCTGATCCGCTCGTCTGAGCATGCTGTCCAACGTGTGGCCAGCTGCACTGTAATTCTGGCCCACCTTACCCATGTTCTCGCGGCTGCGCTCCATGACTTCTCTTTGCTGCCGCAAATCGCTCATTACATCTATTCCGATTTGCTCGGATTCCAGAGCTGCCCGCTTGGCTTCAGTCAACTTTCGAGACGCTTCCAACATGGATTGGTTCATGTCCTCTGCCGTGTGTTCGCTTGTTGGCTTTCCCAGGGTCGTCTCTTCCAGAAGCATAGCTCTGCTGACGGCTTCGGAAGCCTTGCGGCGCTCCGTCAATGCCCTTCTGCACTCCTGCACCTTGGACTGGACAGGGCCACGTGCTTCGGGTGGCATTGCTCTCACTTCCAGCTCCATCTGCTTGACCGCCTGCTCGGCTCTTGAAATGCAGCGATCTGCATCTGAAAGAGGCTTTGCCGAGGATGTACTCTTGGCACGCTCCAAACACTCCTCCGCTTCGTGGCACAGCCTGGTGAAGTCAGCTTCATACTCCGTGAACATCTCCGAAACCGTCACGTGCTGAGACATGGCCAAGATCTATGGAAACAGACTGCAAGACCCAGTTAGCTTAGCAATCTACCAGCCCCTCAGCGGGACAAATGACAAGGCACTAACACAGTCGGCATAGCACGATAAGCGGATGTGTCTTCTTATGCCACACTGGGCTGAGTTGTTGAAGGTTGCACTTTCGAAACCTGTAGTTTCACTGCCAGCAACTCGGTCAACACATTGATGGCTCATGTTGTGTCGGCAGTCGAGGGCAACATGAAGGATGGTTTGCAACTGGCTTCGACTGCTAGGATTCCGCAAGCAAGACGAGCTTGTCGCTTCGTTAATGGCGTGGCTTCCATCCTACCTGCCCAGATGACTTGAACTCGACGACAAACCGCATTTCCTGAGCAATTTCAGCATGGCCAACGCAACTTGCCTACCCGGTAAATTTTGCAGACAGATCTGCCTTCGGCAGCTTCAACCACATGCGAACAGGGTGACCAATCACACCAAACAGTCACCTTGCAGTAAAAGAGTTTCGAGGCGAAGACCGGGCAACGCAGTGTTAGCGAGCCTTCGTTCCTCAACTTCAAAGTCGCGGCGTTGCATGAAAAACGCGTATGCGCCTTCTGCTATGACGTCTTCTCTTATGTTCACATGAGATTGGAGCTGTGCAACACGCACGCAGTGAGACCTTACTGGCAATCCTTGCAGGTAGAATGCTGGCATGGATGCCACTTTCTACTGTTGCTGCCAATGGTACGTCTTACACCAGTGGTGTCTTTGGGAATGCTCGCCGCTTACAATATTCAACGGTGTTCAACGGTGTAAACCGAGGCAGCATGCGACCGCCCTCTGGCCTGATCGGATCTGTTCAGGGTCTGGAGCGATCAGGTGCTCAGGCACCCTGCGACCAAGGCATGCCACGCAAGCTGTGAAACACTCGCCCACAATCGTGCCTGGTAGTTTGAGGAGTTCGGCACAAGCGCCACACCCACAATCGCCCCTGCGAAGGGGGAAGCTGTGTGGGGGCTCCTGGCTCCTGGTGACTGCTGGGCTCCTACGCAATACCGCAATGCACGATTACACCCGCGGGTCTTCTTCAAGCTGTCGGATCACTCCACAACTCAACCACCTGGATTCAGCAGCGATTGTGCTCTAAATACCAGGGAGTGCCCATAGGCTGCTACAGAGTACTTTGAGCGAGAGCGACTTGCATCACTGCTGCACGTGGTGCTTTGCAGATGAAATTCCCTACACTGATGGCCGTGAGGCAAATGATGCGCGCTGGTAGCTTTCTGAAGCCTTTCTGAAGCCGGCCCCGGTTCTCTACGGCAGATTGAGAAAAAGAGTGCCAACAGAAGTAGGTTTGAGTAGTTTTGTTCGGTGAGATCTCAGGGCCCGCAAGGCTAAGTGAGACATCCGATGTCGGTAGCTTCAGGCCGCCATATCTTTGATCTAGCCTGCACGGACGCTGTGGGCAAATGAAGAGCCAACAGCCTGTGCGCAAGCATGGGTCAGCCATTATACCGTCGCATCAATTGCCCACAGTGGTCCCTATGCCAAATTATCATGCGAAGCGGACAATGCTTTGGCTGTCACGCTCACCAAACGAGAGAACTCTGTGATGGCCACGGTTGGGCATCCAAGATTTCAATTGTGCAGACTGCGTCATGCAGCTTGCACCCAATGTGTAAGTGAGACACAAACTGCTGCTGCTGCTATTGTGGAACCCACTACTGCCTGAGCTAAAACCGAAAACGAAGCAGCAACGCTAGAAGATTCCGGGTTTGGAAGAACTGAGAGTGCGAGACGGTGATCATCGGTGAAGTCTACATCGGCCTCCCGCAAAAAAGCATTCGAGTAAAGGGCGAGACTCAAAAACCTTTTTCTGGGCTAGAGACACGTGCACACACACACACACAAACACACATGCAGGGTGGGGTACTTCCTTCTTGTTACTTACTTAGTTTCTCGCTTGCTTTACTTTCTCGCTGAATGACTTACCTACGAACTCACTCCCTCGGTTACCCGCCCACTAACTCACGTACTTATTTGCACACTGCTTCCTTGCACACAAACAGCAGGCAGACAGACAGACAGACAGGCAGACACGGACGGAGGGACAGATAGACGGACAGACAGACACAGATCCAGGCACTATTCAGCACCACCGCCTTCCGTATGGAAGAAGCCAGGCATTAACCAGAGCTCCTCGCTCCATTCCGACGGTCATGCCTGCAGTATCATTCGACGGAGAAGGGAACATGAAGTTCTGTGGCCATCTATTTCGCTTTCAGCTGGCACCGCTTCAGCCACTCGTGACCTGCACATCCACTATAGTAACTAGTAGACATGAACATGCACGGCCTCCACGGCGGTGTAGGCTACTTGCGCACTGCGGTGGCTGCGCACACGCCCGAAAAGGCGCACGCCTTGGCTTGCATACACTACTATGATTATTTGAGGCTCTAACACCGGACTTACTTGCTTACTCTCTTCCCCGAATAGAGAAGGGCAAGCAAATCTGAGAAAAGCGCCAAGCACCACCATGGACAAAGAGACGCAGCCGGCCACAAAGGAACCAAAGATGTCGATGATTTCTCGAGATTCCAGATCCTCGATCATAACTCACATTGGCTGATCGAAAGCAGAATGCCAAGAGAAGACCTCAGTCAGGTCCTGAGCCCGAAGGCGCACCTTCTCATAGTGCATCATGACATTCCTGAGCTGTGATTCTGATGTTTGGTAGGTATGGCCCATAGCGATTGAACTCTTCGCTTTGGGTTGTGCGCAAGCCGACGTAAAGGCTGTCTCATGCAGCAAGTCCCTGGTGAGACAAGTGGCGAAACATAGGACGGCAATTCACTCTTGGCCTCCTCTGTGAGCGTCATGTAGCGGCCTGGAAGAGAGCCCATGGCCCATGGAGGTCGGTTCCAGAAACTCTCCACTAAGTCTCTCATGAGAAACTTCTACGCTCGTTCCCCCCCCCCCCCACAGATCGTGGTTGAAGTTCGCATGCTGTGCAGCACCGCCAAGGACCCACCACGACCCGCTTCAATCGGAGCCAGTCTGTCTCAGAACTCCCAAGACCGGAGGACTTCGGCTCTCACTTGTCTTCAACCGCTCGATCCCGACTTTATACCCACTCCAAAGTCAAGGCTTTGCGCGGCAGTCACAAAGACCCTGGCACTCGAACATGAGACGGCAGGCTTAACTGAAGGCTGCTGCAGTCTCAAGTCAACCTATCTGCACTGGATTGAAGCACGCGGCAGTGTCACTGACGGTGAGACAGACGACACACACACACACACAACACACAACACACAAAACGGGAAACAAGCAAAGACAGACAGATAGAGGCAGACGGACAGAAAGGCAGAACGACACGCAGACAGACACAGACAGACAGACGGAATAAGACAAGGAATTGGCACAGCACCCATCTCGCGAAGCCATCATGCAGGTGCGTTGGCTGGGATCTTAAACGAGGCCAGGCATGGGCACCGAGTCTCAGAGAGCGAGTTTTTACATGTGCTTGCTTTCCATCTGAGCAGAGGGCGTCGTCGGCGCTTGCCTCCTTTGCCGCATTCTGCGGTGCATTGGCTCCACCTGGATGATCGATCGAAGACTGAGCCCAACGCAAGAGCAGGAGCACCGCAAGCTTGCTTGTTCTCCTTCATCCAGGCCGCTCGCCCCAGTTCTGCCACTCGCAGAACTTTTGTCCAGTACACCGTCTCGGGCATTTCCCGAGTTCCATGAGCTCCTTTGGCTCGCATTCCTTGCCACCTTCGCCCAAACGGCTGACTGATCTCGGTGTCGGGCACACACACTCGAGCCAAGCAGCCATTCCGCGGGAAGTCAATAATCTTCCTGGACCAAAGGCTAATCACTAATCCCACCCATCGGCTCGACTTCTGCACAAGGATTCCGCGACACTTGCTGGGTCCGGCCTGATCCTCGTGCGCTCACCTCGTCTTGCACTATCAAGCTGTTTACCACCACTGAACTGAGGACACCGCCGGCAGATATACCGTTACCGCGTAGTCAGCAGCAGCAGCAGCAGCAGCAGCAGCAGCAGCAATAGCAATCGCAACCGCAACCCCCACAACGACACCGAGCGCGCGAATGAATTGAAGTCAAGCCGCCGCTGCATTTGTTGCAGAGACCCCAGGATTCCCAGGATCCGAACGTGCAGTCCACCGGCTTTTGCTCACTTCCACAGGCGTGGCGACTGCACTCCTCAGATTCGAGTCAACATCTGCGCCCTCGACCATCGCTAGCAGCCGCTTGCACTCACTAGCAGCAGGCCTTCAGTTCTTCCAGAGGGCCATCGCAAGTTTGGCCGCCAAATTTAGGATGCGTCAGGATCTCTCGTGACCGCAGGCTTTCACCGCCTGCCGGGGCAAAAGCTGACAACTTCCCAATATTCCACAACTCCCCATCGAAGAGAGGCCGCGTAAGCCAGCCTCCACAACTCTTGCTGCACATGCTCCAGTGCGTCCAATCACTGCGCTGGCAGTCCACCTTGGTCTAGCAGCACAGAACGCTTTTCTCTGCAATGACAGTGTCTGCGTGCATGTGTAGAAGTCCCTTATGAGGACACGTGGTACTCGGCATGGGAGTAATGCAAACACTCGGCACCCGTTGCTGTCCCAAGGGCGGGATTTCCCCCGAAGCATTCCTCGGGGCCGTCTTGGCCTCATGGGACAGGTACATAGTCAGGGCTCTTGACACGCAGCTCTGCAGGGACTGCATTGCCGGAGCCTGGAGCTGGGTTGCAGGGTTCCACCTCCTTCAAGCCACCGATGCACCAGAGGCCAGCACCTGTGATAGCAAAACCCTCAACCCTTGAGACATGTGCGGCCAAGTCAAGCACCCAACGGCTGCCTCGGCCGTAGTTTTCCACGGTGCGCTCGCGCCGACGAATGCCGTCACCTAAGGCTTCGGCTGAGCTGGGGGATTGGGCATCTACCTGTCTACCTGGAGTGCTATACTGCCGGAAGGTCACAGGTTGCTGAGCAAGCGGTCCACTCGGACCAATGCGTGAACTCGCAGTTCACGGAGGGCGTGCAGGACCTCTTAAAGGCCGTGGCGACTGCTCTGTCTACCACATTCATATCCCGATACGTTTCTGACGGCTGCCTGTCCATGTTGCAGAAGCCGGTCTCATGGGACTTCCCTACCGGCGGAGCTCCACACTCGTCAGCTTCTTGGACGATCCGGCCTCACAGTAGACTCGGTAGATCCCGGAAAGGTCATGAGCTTAAGAGGCGCCGCAAGGTGGCATCTTAAAAGCCGCGCGACGAATCCGGAATGAGGTTCCCCCGCCACAGCTCGCTGAACACTCGGACCTTAGCCGAACAGACTCCAGAACTTTCTTGGCAAGAGGGAAAAGGGGAAAAGCAGGGTGCCAGATGTGCCAGCATAACTTGTTCTTATCAAGGTCAAGGCCAAGCAGTCCACTCACCCCACTGGCCATCCTTGCAGTTCTCATTGCCTTATCATCTCGCGTCTGAATGGCAGGGTGAGACCTGGTGTCTGCTCTTCTGCGAAGACGTTGTCTGTGGGGCCAAGTTGCAGCTGTGAGTGTTGCACGCCCTCAGCTCCACTTTGTGACTCGCCGGACAACCTTGGATCCGGCGAAGGCTTTGCAAGGCCAAGGTCAGGCTTCCCGGCCCCCCCCCCCAAGACTCACCTGGCCCCAGCCGAGGCACGCTCGCCGCCCATGTGGGGCATTGTCTTTACAAATCGCTTCCGCACCTGCGAGCCGCCACCACAGGAGCAGCTGCAGGGCCGCCATTCCTCCCATGCGTCCCACTCGCAGTCCGATCGCGGGCACACCTCAGCAAACGATTTGCCTGTTCCTTTCAAGACTTCGCATTGGGAATGTCGACTTTCGAAGAAAACCCCGCCGAGAGGATCACGCGGGTTGTGTGACATGGTCGTGCTTCGCCCAGGAAGCCCTCAAATCCACGCCCCCCCAAAGTTCTCTCCTGGCAATCTCATGCAGCTGCATCAGCCGCCGGAAAACATACAGAAAGTCTGTCATCCCAGTCCTTGAGAATGCTGCGAGTGCGTGTTTGTTCGCCTCGAGACGAGGCATGACTGACGCTGTACCGTCTGCTGTGGTGCGGCTCTTACAGCGTATTCCTGTTCTTGCTTGTGCTGTTTCCTGCTGTGGTTGCCAAATTGCCACCTCTGACTGCGTAACCTGTTCTAGCGAACCGCAAGTGCTTGCCCTTCTTATGCCACATCCTGGCCTGGTCCGCAGGTCAGCGTGCAGTCGGTCCATGCTGACCAGTCGCTCACCTGATAACGGTTGTCTGCAGCACTTAAGCATGCTACGATGCATGCAGCTTCCATTGCTCTCACAAGTCAACACCGAATCGTTGATTCCATCCCTCCTTTCCTAAAACACGGATGAACGAAACACACAGTGGCTTCTGAATCTGCCCGGGGCCAAGGTGGACAAGAGCGACGATTTGCCTCTGCATTCCACACAGGGCATTCCGCCAGAAAGCAGCCATTGGTTTCCATGAGACTGCCGTCACATTCCTGGGCACATCTCAGGTTTGGAATTGATGCCGCCTTGGAGAGTTCCAGTCAAGAAGCTGCGCCCCCATTTGCAGCAAATCGCTCGATCTGACGCTGACGCCTGGTCATCAGGGCCAGGCGAAAGTGACGTCGGAACCTGCCATGCTCCGATCCGAAAGCCTCGTCTGTGCGTGTCCGCATGTTCGATCACAAGGTCCCCATTCTGCCCAGCTCGACAGCTTACAATCGACGGGGAACATTCCGCATGTTTGTCCTTCCAGGCTTTCTCACAGCATGAATGGCCTACATGGTCATGCTCGAAAAGCTGGAACCTGTGGATAAACTAGTCTTCAGGACAGGGCGCATTGCCCGCGAGTACTTACCTTTCGAAAATAATCGAGTCCTTGCGTAATTTCGCCGACGCAGGCTTGGCCACCATTCTCGGCATGCTGGGTGATGCCTTGGCCGTGCGAACTGCTCCGAACCTGATTATGCCCTAAAGTGCTGGCTGTCAACTGCATGAGTTGCATGCGTTCTGCATCCAAGCTTCTCTTATCCCGAAAACGCATGTTGTGCATGTCGCAGGTGCTCCAGATGCCCCAATCTCCAAGTATGCAGTCCACTGCGATACCAGCTTCACACGCAGTGCCTCCCGGAATGCCGTGACCGAGAGGTGTTTTTGCAGGATGCTTCGCGCATTCACCGTGCGCCCAATTCTCCCGGACCATGACCGCAAACCGACTCTTGCTTCTGGTGCTGCGCGCAGCCCGGGCCCCAAGCTGAAGATACGCTTGTGACACAATGTATATTGCAAAGGAAACAATCCGTTTTGCAACACATATTTTCTTGAAACCGTTTCCCACATGCTCTCAAGCCCTCAGTTGCATCTCCACAAAGCACCAAAAACATTCGGCGCGGCATCGGTTTGGAACCCCACACCGACATGGCAACGGCCCGCCTTCATGGACGCATTTGCCGATCTCTTTCAAAGAGCCATCGCAAGTCATGCCGCCACGGTGAGCATGCACCTTGCCAAAGCGGCTTTGGGAGACAGCCAAAATAGACCCCAAGCGCCTTGCTGTAAACAGCTGGATTGACGATAGCAGGCCTCGATCTGTCTTCGTCTCGTACGCCAACCGTCACCACAGCTGGTTGTGCAGGTTGTCCAAGCCTGCGGTTGTGAGAGATGCTGTGCCGGCACTGCTACAGTAGCCTTCCGAAAAATAGTCCTCCCACGAGCTGAATACGCACGGCTGTGGGACTATCCTGAGCGTCAAGAGCCAGCTCGAGCATGCTTGTTTGTAGGACTTTGCGCGGCCCTGACGCAAAACAGCAGCTCTGGGGAAGCTCTGCCGCATCTGCCATACGATCTAAACAAATCCGCGGCTCTGGTGGCAGCCCACCGTCTCCTCAAGCACACCGAGACCTGGCCACTGGTAAGGTACTCAGACAGGTACTCAAGGGCAACTGTTGCCAGCAGGAAGACTAAGAGGGCATGCAAAGGACAGAGTTAGCAAAGCTGCATGGCTTTCCGCCATTGCGCGGCGTGAACTCGATCTCTCGGTTGCGATATCTCTGGCCCGATGCCTGACGATAGTGCCGCCCCGAGACACATGGCTAAGAAGGCGCATCTGCCACGATGTCAGGGCATGTTTTTGGGTTTTGGGGCAGGCCTGTCCAGGATCGCTGCATCCACTCCACTCGCTCCACTGCGTTACCTGCGATTGGCATGATTCGTGGAAACATGAGACGGCAGGGAATGACAGCTGCGGGGTTGCTTCCTCAAGGGCTCATCCCCGCCTTGCAATCCCTTGGACTCAGGCAATCCGCGGCACAGCGCTTCGTCGTTTCCAAAGGACCGTTGCAGGGCGGCCCACACTCGTTGTTTACATCCTGCACACTGCCCCGATTCCCCACAAGCTGCATAGATTCAGATGGTTGCTCACTCGATTATGTGCTTTCCGTTCGGGGGTGGAAGGAGTCGGCGGAAGAAGAAGCAGTCCTGCACGATGCGGCTGCGCGTACAAAGGCCCTCACAAGTGGGCTCTTGCCACTCCGACCAGGGACTGAAGATGCACGGAATCGGGTTGCAGTCCCTTAGGCAGCAGTCACGTGGTATTCACAAGCCATATCAGGGAGCAGCATGCTCATTTGCAACTGCACGTTGCCTGAAAAACGGCATAAGAAATAAGTACAGGGCAGAGTCCGGCAGCAGAACAAGTTACAGCCAACAAATGGTGATTTATTGAGTCACGGCTCTCGCATGGACGCATGAAGGGGCACTCCGTCTGATTCACCTGTGTTCCAGAGCAATTGGCCGTTCCATTGACCTCAAAGAGGAGATCGTCGTCGCTAGGCTTCGTCACATGAAGACCTTGCATGGGCCATTCAGGCTTGAATCAGTTCGCAGCGGTGTCGCTGCCGACTGCTCACTGCATTCCACATCTGCTTCCTTTTTCGTGTCTTTTGTGACAAAGCTTTCAGCTTAGACTGCGCATACAATGGCATCATGTGTGCTTCCAGCCAGCACACAGCAAGCATCACATGATCTGGGAAGGAAGCACGTTGAGGCCCTCGCCCAAACTCCTTGTGATCATGGCGGTCGCTGTTCCACAGGTGTCTCCACACTGCGGTTCTGTCCATTCATTCCAGCCACAATAAAGCCTGCATGCAAACTGCACCAACAAGCGTGTGTAAGCTGGGTCCTTGATTGGGCAGACTCTCTCGGCTCACTCTCGTGTAGTTTATCTCTTGATGACCGTGACATGTGGACATCTTGCTTCTCGGCGTTGCTGCTCTGAGGCGCACGCTGCCTTTCACATGCCGGCAGAGGAATGCAATCTGACACCTGCATCTAGCATCTCACGAAGCAGCAGCGAAAGAAATGTATACGAAGCGATGCACGAGGTCATCAAACAACTCGAGATGTCACAACCGTTGGCAGTTGACCACAGGTTTCACCTGGCCTGCTTTGCAGATCGCAAATCGCAACGCTTGCCACATAGGTTCCTTGGTCAGGTTGCAGCTGGGTCCGCTACAGGTATTAGGCCGACGACGTAAGCAAGCCATTACAGCCGGAATACGGCATGATGTCGATGTTTCGGTGTCGATACCGCTGGCCACCGCAAGGAGGGCAATCACCCCAAGAGCTCCAAGGCCCCCATACGCAGTCCTGCGCATAGCTTGGCAAAGCAAGACCGGGAGAAAGCATGGTCTTTCCCCCCATGCACATCTGAAGAGTGTTGCCTGGCACCTGTGCGCGGCGCAGTGCTGGATGTTGCCTCGAAGCCGAGTCTGCCAAGAACAAGATCAGTGAGGAGCTTACTACTGACTCTCTAAGTCGAGTCACATCCCACTGTCTCGAGGAGGGCATTGGAACAAGCCCTGAGGCAGGGCTCTTTCTAGCGTGCTTGGACTGGCCAAAGCTCCTTTGGCAAGAGCATCCAGGCCTTCCACCCCCCATGGAAGGTTGCTTGACCTTCAACCACTCACTGCACCACCCTAAAACAGCACATTGTCTGTAAACCTGACCTCTCGAACTCGCGAACGCTGCCCTCCACCACAGCTCACAGAGCACTGGGACCATTCCTTCGCAAGAAAGCAATGGTCATGTCTGAACACTTTCACGCCAGGAGCCGAATAAGGGTACTGGCATCTCTCTCCCAACAGCCACATGAACTACCACGAAAGACATTTTACCGCTTCGAAACACCTGTCAAACAGCGCTACTCCGCGCTGCCTGCCATTCGAATAGCTCACAGTTCACCTGCTTCACGTTGGAACCTGACGTGTTTTTGAAAAATCGGCACTCAGCCACACGCAACTGCCAGAATTGACTGCAGGTTCTAGTGTTAGACCAGAGGCAGTCTGCTGGCGTCACTTCATCCGGTCCGGGATTGCAAGGCTCGATCTCTTTCAGGCTTTCGTTGAAGCACGTCTCACCTGGACCGCTGCTGAAGGCTTTGTACTGGGAGCTGCTTGCTAGCTAAGAGTCTCTGCAGCTAGAGTTATTCAACACATGTGCAAACAGAAAGACGCTCGCTGCAACCGAAAGGCCGTTCCCGGATGGAAATTTCTCGATGTATCTAGATCTCGTGCGCATCCCGAAGCAGTGGCAACCTGGTTCTGAAAGCACAGTATCGGCAGCTTTACTTCGGCACCAATTGGTAGCACCGCACCATGGCATGGCTCTGCTCGCCATTCTGAAAAGCTAAGGAACTGCACTTCGTCCAGGCTGTCCAGGAAGAAAGTGCGCAGTCAACATCTGCTGTACAAGGCTCCAAGTGAGAGCAAACCTCGAACTCCTCTCGTGGACCCACCTTGCTGCCGACTCAATTCCCGCAACTTTCGCAGCGTTCCGATCTAGCGGTGAAGCGCAGGCATCTTCGCACATCAAGTTTCCGACCGTAGCGTTGCCACAGTAGTTGGGATGGACGGCAATGTTCCTGGTTGAAAGAAGGGTCAGAAGGGGCGAGTAAAGGGGAGAGTGTGTGCCCGCCAGCCTTCTTCGCATCCGGAACGCATCGTTGCAGCTGCCGCTGCAGGGAGTCCACTCCCGCCACTCGCCCCAAGCACCATCGCGGCATCCTTCGCCGCAATGCTGGGTTCCTTGGGTGCGGCACGTTGCCCCATTTACTTGCGCATGCGTCAAGTTTGCCCGTGTGAGTCGAGAATCCGCAAGGAGCCACCTCCACCTTGTCCTTTGCTTCGCATGCAGTGCCACCCTTCGGCGACACGGCTATGTTGCGGCTCCTGTTCTGCAGCGAGACTGCAAGAAAGGCGAACCCTGACCACAATGTGAGCTGTAAAGGAAACCTCAATGATCTCAAGATGCTGCATAGGCTTTGGCCGGGAGCTGTGAGTATCTGGAAGAATCTTGAAGAAAGCAAACAACTACAACCGTGACGGAACGTTGTCGTCACATCATACTCACGGACATGTACACCCTGCATGAAGCACACGCGAAATCAACACAAGCTTACCCGACACTAAGTGGCACTCGCGACGAGGTCTTCGAGGGTGCTGATGGGGAAGCCATGCCGAAATGAGTGCTAAAACAACGCATCGGCACTGACTTCGATCACGACGGGAGTGAACGTCCTCCCTGTGTGCAGCTGCAGATCGTTAATAAGGTCTCTATCGGCGGATGTCCCCAAGGTTTCGGCGAGCACATGCGGGATGCGTCGCTTGGAAGTCCGACAACCGTTGTCTGCCGGGAAGTGCGGGGTTGGTCAGGGAATTGCTTCAGTCGCGCAGTCGCGTGCTGCGAGGCCGTTCGCTCGGCCGCTCTCGGCTCCTGACTTTGGTGCCCCCATCGCAGGAGACGCTGCACGTGGACCAGTGCTCCCAGTCGCTCCACCGGCAGTCGACCACCTGAAAACCACGCTCTGGGGGGCGCCAAGCTGTTCTTAAACATTGGACTGCACATGCCAAGTCAGAAATGCGCTACGGCGGCCTGGCAGTCCTCTCGCACGCACTGCCCAACTTCTTGAAGTGCTCCTTCGCCTCAGTCTTTCGAATTCAGGGCGTGAGGGATGTTCGGCCCGTGCTTACAATCTCAGCAGTTGATGCCAGAATTTTGCCAAGAGGCAAGGCTTCGCCCCATTTGATGCGAATCTGTCCACCTTTCTTGTCCGCGTGCGGGACCCGCTTCCTGTCAGGGAAATCGGGCCACCGAGAGTAATCAAGAAATACCATTCAATGACCACGCTGCAAACTAAGCTTCAGTATACTGAGACACTGACCGCATGACGCTGAGCAGTCGGACCACTTGGCCTGAACAACGACTGTTGACGAAACGTCATTGCGACCTCCTTACACCTCTTACACCTTCACCTTGGCTGTCCATGGACTCTCCGTTTCTCAACTGCCGTTGAGGAACCCAGTCGGTCAAGAGACAGTCCTGCGGACCTTGAGGAGAGCAGGAGGAGGTACCTCGTTGGAACATGTTGGAACTGCCAGATGACTGGATCCTGGTGTTTTCGGACACACGTGTTGTCACCTTCATAGCACCTTTGCTACCTGAACTCCGGCATGTCTGAAAGCGGCAATCTTAGACGAGGCTCCGCAGGATGCGGTCTCCCTGAGTTGAACTGTGGGGCAACTGCCGCCCCGCCTGAAACAACGGGCTGCGGCCAAGCTCACAACGTGACGTGCGGAAGGCTTCAATCCGAGACCCAGCCTCGGTGGCTTGAGCACGTTGCGGTCTCTGTACCTCTGACCTCCATCGCAGGTTGATGTGCCTCGGTCTCTCACTCGAGTCACTAGTCTCAGCTGCACAGAACACTACTGCGGAGTTCACTGCAAGCTCCTCATTGCATCTTTGTCCTGCTATAGTGCACACCGCCTACATTCCTGGGAGCATGTGTCTCTTCGCTGCCTAGCTGCAAGTGCTCCAGGCACGCCACTCCGCCAGAGCGCAGTCTTGCTTTACCGGCGGGGCACATCCCAATGTCTCTTTCAAGCCTGATGCAGCAGGCATGACGGGGGCTGACAAGGCTAGTACCACATGAACTACAGTAGGTATTCGCTTCGGCCAGGTGGCTGTAGTTGCACAGAAGGCCCGTTCCTGTTGGCTCCAACGTGACCTACAAGAAAAGAGATGTGCGACGACACGAGGTCAAATTCTGGCTATGGCGGCTATAGTCATCCTGAGTTCGTCACACCATACCGGACTTAGCGTGGCGCTGCCTTCTTGGCTCAGTCCCGGTGCGGGAACCTCCTGCCCCACTGCCTGCAATGCCTGAAACCTTATGTTTGCAATGCCTCCCGTCGCCGGTACTTCTGGATGTAGGTCTCATCGCACATACTCCACTCTGTCCATGCGCTGACCTCGCAGTCACGACCTGCCGGAGAAATGTTGTCAGCTCGCGCTGAAATCATATTGTTCTTGGCCCGAGAAGCACTGTCCGCCAATAATCCTGGGAATCCATCTCAGTTCGAATTTGAGGCAAGCGGCTGCCCGCACAATGTCCGGCATCACAAGGCGCCGTCTCCAACAGGTCTAGATCGCAGGTCTCGCCCCCACGTCGGGCCTCCACATCGATGTATCCTGGGCTTGAAGCCGCCATCGAAACCGGTTTAAGACCTATGGCTCCGATCAGATTAACACTTCTCGCCTTTACACTCGAATGCAAGGCCTTTGGCCAAGCTTCGCATTCGTGTGTGCCGACCGACTCCACACTTGACGCTGCAGCTTGTCCACTCGTGCCAATCGCCAACATGACAGTTTGTGTCCTTTGGCCCGCCACAGGGCCTGGTCTCCTGCATGGGTCTGCGGATGTCTGCTGGCAACATCTTCGCACTGCGTTGCTTGTCAAGAAAACAGCAATCCACTTTTGCAGGGGCGGTTGGCAGTAGTTTGCAACATTCGCAGTGATGCCGGTGCTACCAGGGTCGTTTTCACGGCAGTGCGAAGGTTGTTTTAGGTGGTGGTAGCGGTGGTAGCGGCGGTAGCAGTGGCAGCGGTGGTGGGGGTGGCTGTCGTGGTGGTAGTGGTAGTGGTAGTAGTAGTAGTAGTAGTAGTAGTAGCAGTAGTAGCAGTAGCAGTAGTAGTAGTAGTAGTAGGAGCAGCAGCATCAGTAGTAGTAGCAGTAGTAGTAGTCGTCGTCGTAGTTTTTGTCACTCACTTGGCACGTCGATGACAGCACTGCGAGGTCTTGACAATCCACGAGATGTCGGAGAGTTAGTCTCACAAGCAGACAACAAGACAACAAAGGTAGGCAAAAAACACATGGATCACTGTAACCCCAACTCTCCGGGAAAAAGTCACCAACGGCTGATCGTTGAAAGTCGAATGCTTTTTGGGCACTCTCCAGACAGTTTGGTGACAACATGCACAACATGCACAACCACCAAGAGTCCTACTACTATCCGCACTGGTCATGGGCCGAAGTGCTCCATCCTACTCTAGCTCGGTAACAAGAAACCCATTTTTAAGGCTAACCAACAAATGACCCCAGACACCCAACCCATTTGGGGCACTCCTGCGCCAGTAATTCAAGGAAGAGAATGTTGTATACATTCCAGACTGCTTGAAGTTGCGAATTTAGTCTGGTCAGGTCCAATGTGGTCCATCCCAGATGCGTGCAGTTCAAGTATGTAGGTACCACGAACGGGCTTTTACGTGCAATCGTCGCTCCTGTAGTTGCAGAAGAAGAAGTAGTAGTAGT